TCTCTTCCCCTTTTTTTCATTTAATGCCAGTTGAGGAGCAATCGAAGTGCACTTTTCAGGTTCGCATTCTCTTCATCCTCTGTTTATTGACTCCGATCTGTGTGTTTTCTGCGAGTTTCAGCTGCTCCATTGTTGCTTTCGTTCTTCTTTTTCTAGTTTTCTTCTTGTTCTTTAAGTGGGTTTCTGGGTTTTGCCCGTAATCCGTTTTACTTCAAGCAAGGGAAGGTTTAGTGTTCATCATGGGGGCTGTGCTTGTTGACCCTACTTTCAATCATTGCTGGGTTGGATTCGTTGATTTGAGAGATCAGCGAGTTAAGAACTGGAAAACATTTAGATGGTTCTGTAAAATGAAAGATAATAAGCTTGTTTGCTGATATGAAATAAGTTTGAAGCTATGTGGTGCGGTGCAGACCTGTCGGCTGGTTCTTTATAGCAATTTGTTGACCTCATTGACATTTGATTTGGGATTGTTTGAGCAACTTATGTAATTGATTATGAGTAGCTTTATTGAGATCGAAAGCATGTTATGTTATCTGGAGCTGTTTAAGTCCCTTTCATCTGAAATATTTGAGGGCCAAAATTGGGGGTTTGGGATTGCTGCCGAGATTGGGACAGTGTGGTCGGTTCTCGTCCGAAAATTATGGGGTGGAACACGAATCATTAATGAATGTGATTTGAATTTCAAAAGGATTTAAGATGCGATTTGCTTTATCTTCTCATATGGAACTCATGAAGCTATTCTACTAGTTATCGACAGCTTATGGAAATCTCTGTGTATGGTTGCAGAATGTTCATCAAGGGTATCTGGCCGAAACCTTGGAGCGATTTCTGAAGGCACGGGACTGGAACATTAGCAAAGCCCACAAAATGGTTAGACATGATTCACTAACATTCCTACAGTACTGATCAGTAGGTTGTGCTCAACTTGATGTACCTTTCTGGTATTGCAGTTGGTAGATTGTTTAAACTGGCGAGTAGACAATGAAATCGACATGATGTTAACAGTAAGTATTTATCCTTCTTAGTTATCAAGCTTTTCGCACATTGTGAGTTGTCCCCGAGTTCTTGCTGTATCCATTCATTGCTCTTCCTCCACAGAAACCCATAATTCCCGTCGATGTTTACAGAGCCGTGCGTGATTCTCAGCTCATAGGACTTTCGGGTTACTCAAGAGAGGTGCATACTACATTTCTTTTAAAGTGTTTTTGAGGTTAAGTCTTGCTAATAGTTAGAGTTATTCAAAACTTAAGAAAATGAAAATGGAAGGGACTATGCTGGAAACTCGATGCAATCTAGCATCTAGGAGAGTATTCTCCAAGAACCAGTAATTGAAACTCTTTGTTAATATCTAAAAGGCCTACCGATATAAGAGATTAACTACTAATCAATTGAACTACTAACAAACTACTAATTAACAAACTCAAACTAAAAGTTATAGTAACTAGTAACTGCTGAGTAAGCTCCCATGGGGCAGCCCCGTTGGCAAAGGCATGCAGCCTCCTACTTAAAGGTCGCATGTTTGAACCTTCAGGTAACTTTAAAAAGAAAAATGCTTGATGCCTCTCAGGTCTTGGCCTTGGGCGAGCGCAGGTGTCCTTCGATACAGGGAAGTGAAGCTTCGGTTTTGGGTCATAAAAAAAAAATAAATAAATAACTACCGAGTACTCTACATCAACACTTTTCTAGCTCTTGCTCTTTCTCTTTTCCTTCACATAAGTAATTTTCCTTTCCTTTCCTCTAGGGCCTACCAGTCTTCGCCATTGGTGTTGGACTCAGCACATTTGATAAAGCATCTGTGAGTATTATTATGGAATATATAGTATTCTGCTGATAAACCATCTTCTGCACATTTAAGAAGTGTTATATATGAGTTTTTTATTCTTCTTTTGTTTCTATTACAGGTTAACTACTATGTGCAGTCACACATTCAAATCAACGAATATCGGGATCGTGTAGTCTTGGTGAGCTTTAGAGTTATGGATATCATCTATGTTTCCTTTCCTTAGGGCACTGTATTGACCTTTATATCCATTGTAGCCTTCTGCGTCGAAAAAATACGGGCGGCCTATCACAACTTGCGTGAAGGTATTAGACATGACCGGTTTAAAGCTGTCAGCACTGAGTCAAATCAAGGTAAAAAGTTTTGAAGTCTAAGGTTCAAAGTTTGTTCTGGATGACGAATCAAAGTTCAACAGAACCTTTTTCACTACCCGATTCATATTTTTGTGGGAACTTCTGAATTCTTTGATATTCAGTTGCTATTGTACTTGAATTTTTGCAGTTATTGACGATCATATCAACGATCGACGACTTGAACTATCCGGAGAAGACGAATACGTATTTCATAGTAAATGTCCCTTACATATTTTCATCTTGTTGGAAGGTAAGTGGATATAGTTGGTCCCTACAATTTTACTTCCCAGTTTTTCACAAAAGGTAGCTCATGTTTATGTGTAATTTGTATCTCCATTTTGCCAAAGCGAGCATAGCTCAGTGGTAATTGAAATATACTTTAAACCAAGAGGTCGTGAGTTCAAATCCCCTCTCTATGTTGTACTAAAAATAGAGAAATTTGTATCTCTATTTTTTTTTTATGGTATTGTTGGTAATATACCTGATTCCCTTGCAGGTAGTTAAGCCTCTGTTGCAGGAGAGGACTAGGAAAAAAGTGCAAGTTTTATCAGGTAGTGGAAGAGATGAACTGCTGAAGGTAAGTTGTTCTGGTTGCTACATGTTTTTTGAAATTGTTAGGGTTTCTTTTGTTAAATTTTAAATTTTTAATCCTTAATATGTGGTTGGGTCACTCGATTTACTTCATCTAATTGAATCCGAACTTGCTAACTGGTTAAATTAATAACCAACAAATAACCCAAAATTCAACAGGAAAAATTCCTAAATTTCAGCCCGCCACAAATACATCAAACAAGAAAATGTTCAAACACAACACAAACGTCAGAGCTCAGTTAAATCAAATGTCAAACACAATAGTAAATAGTCTCCGAACCACAAAAACTAGCACATCGAGCCACAAATCTCCGAAAGACATAGTAACTCAAACTAAGAGAAGGTATTAATTTTACTACTACTTAGTCAAGTTTATAATTTAATTTTAAGAGGTAAAACTTTAAGTTTAATATGATTCACCTAGCTAACTAGGCAGGTAAAAAATGAACAACGCTAAATAGTTTAAACACAACGCTAAATAGTCTCGTCTTATAGACAAAAACTAGCATACATAGCTGCACGTACGGCCTTACTTGAAAAGATCTACTCTATAGGTCGAACCGTGTCCTTGACTACTAAGATAGCAGAACGTATTACTCAACATTTATAAAGGGGTGTATTACTCAACATTTATAAAGGGGTGTCCTCTATCGTCAGCTCGTAACTTGTCAACATACATATAAGGTCCCATCAAGTGTCAAAATTTTGGATAGATTTCATTTTGATGAAAATGAATTGTGTTCGTATTATATACTTCTCGAGTGATCCAATGTCTTTGATTCATTCTTGTTCAATAACAAGGGAGCTGAATTTTATGCTTTATGTAGATAATGGACTATTCATCTCTCCCACACTTCTGCAAAAGAGAAGGCTCTGGATCATCTCGTCATTCACCTAATGGAGCTGAAAATTGCTACTCTCTGGAACATCCCTTTCATCAACAACTCTATAGCTACATCAAGCAGCAATCGATTCAGGAATCTTCACGACCGATCAAGCAAGGATCCGTTCATGTGAATCTACCCGAACCAGCTGCAGAAGGAACTGAGATCGCCAAAACCATCGAGTTAGAATTGCACAAGTACGGGAACGGAAACGGAAACGGATTATCCAACTCGCTAGACAACCTAAAAATATGTTGAATGATGCCTTCTACAACTTGAAGCAACAGAAGCCGACTCTCCATTTCATCAAGATGTTGAAGGCTGCTGAGCTGAAAGTTCATTTTGGAAGCCCTGCCAATGGCATTAAACATGGCTGAAAGTACTACTACTCATTAGCAGTTGGCAATAGTTCCTAGAAATCCACATATCAAAAAATATATTGTATGTAATTTCACATATGGGCTGGCTAAGGAGTTAAGTTCCTTCCTAGCTTGTCCTCTCCTCTACTCACTGTTCTTCAGTCAACTCCTTGCTGCACAGGCCATTTCATTCACTGAAATGTTGCTGTCTACTAAATTTCTAGGCTTCTAATGATATAATAAATACTATCTTCACATCCAAAAGCTTGCTTTGTGTTCTTCTCTTGATTCATTAACATTTTGACAGTCCTCTCTCCTGTTGGTAGCTTCAGAATTGAAAATAGGACATTTCACTGTAATTTTCCACCCATTGTGTTTATTGGGCAGTTGTTTGCAACTTGAGTAGAAAGTGAAAAAGGTTCATTTTTGTTTAGTGGGTTCTCTTTCTTTCTCCCCATTCCTTGAGAATCAAGAATATATTTGCTTGAATTTGCATCAGCTAGGTTCTTTTCATTTTACAGCCATTGAAATGTACAGTTGCTCAAGATTGATGTCCAGTTTTGTTTATATCATTCAACAAGATGCCCTGAGAACAGATTTAACTTTTAGAGTTCTAATCCTACTTTTGTAGCATTTGAATGCTAAATGTAAATATGTCCAGAAGTAACTTGAGGTGGCACATGTTGTTCTTCCTGGCGCCATCGCCGGAGTTCACCTTCGACCACCATTTTTGCAGCGTCTGCCAGTTCTGCATTCTTTAGCGCCGTGTCTGTTGCTGTCTTCATCTCCTCTATCATTTTGCAGGTGGCCTGTAGTTTCATCATCGTTTCACTTTGCCTTGCATTGATCATCTGCAACTCGGCCATGCTGTTTGCCTCCTCCTTGTCTGCTAACATTTTAGATTCTCTGACCTTTCTGCTCAACGATTCGAACTCGTCCACCGTCAGTTTGATCTGCGACGTAGGCTCGGAGGCTGCAGCAGGGTCGGGGGTCGGTTTTACGGCTATATTCTTCATCTTCTCAAGGGCTTCCTTCTCTGCTGCTTTTGCCTCTTCAGCCTCTTTCTGCACAATCTCTAGTTTACTCTCTGCTTCCTCTGCCGCACATCTGCTAGCTTCGGCATCTCGCTTAAGCTGGGCGGCTTCTTGCTTCATCTGTTCGGCTTCTCGCCTTGCAGTTTCAGCTTCAGTCAGCAGTTGTAGGAGCTTCAAAGTCTTCTCTCTTCGTTCATGTAACGTTTTTTCTTCTTCATCAAGTCTGTTATGCAGTTCCTCTCTCTCATTCTTCACATTCTCCAGTTCCAGTCTCAAGGAACAAACTAAGGTTCGGAGAGAGGTTTCTTCTTCAGAAATTTGCTGCAGAGTCTTGGTAGCTTCGTGAAGCTCAGCAGTCACAGCTCTCACAGCATCCATTTCAGAAGCATGGGCCTTCTTCATCTTCTCTTGCAAAACCTCAATCTCTGCAGTTGTTTCTATAAATTTTTCCTCAAGAGATAAGGTCAGTTCAGGATCGATTTCCTTCCGAAGGATCGTCAGATTCCTCTCTGCTTCTTCCTTGGCGGTCTTGTAATCATGGAAACACGCTTCTTTCTCGGCTAGAATCTTAAGCTGCGCGTGCTGTGCTTCCGTGGAAACATCTTTGAGATGTTCGATGGACTCCTGCATTGCGGCGATTTGCTTCGAAAGTTCAACAACCCTATCGCTGTTGAGATTCGCCGATCGTTGAGCCTCGGCGGCGAGCTGGAACGCGGCCAATTTCGATTCCAATGCCGCATCAAAATCCTGGCGGATTTTGGTGAGCTCTTGCTTAGAAGCATCGAGTTCGGCGACGGTGATCGCGTACTCACTTCTCGCGTAGTCCAGCTCCTGTTTCCAAGCGCCATTCCCGCCGCCGCCGAATCCGAGCACCTTCTTTGATTTAGCGACCTCAAGCTTCTTGGCTTGAATCTTTACAGCTTCTGCAGCTTCCATGGCGGATTTCATGGACTCGTTGATGGCACAGAGCTTCGTGGTTAGCTCCTCCTGCGTTCTCTTCGCCCTCTCGAGCTCAGCATTCGCTCTGGATTTTGTGGATTCCGCACTCTGAAGCTGTTGTTTGATCTTGCTGAGCTCCCTCTGTGCCAGCAGAAGCTGCGTTTCTTTTTCCAGTACATTCTGTTCAAATTTAGCCGTCAAAATTGTTAAAAAATAAAACGGTAAAAATAGTCATTTTCTAACCAAAAAAAAATTGAAAGCAATTTTGAAAGTATGGAGACTAAAATAGTATTAAAGGAAATTTTTTTACCTCGGACGAGAGTTGTTTGGTCCTTTTAACGGTCTGTTTGTCCTTAGAAACAGCAACTTCTCCAAATAAACTAACAGCAGCTTTCACAGATTGAAATGGTGCTCTTGTGTCTATTTCTCCCACCTCTCCCTTTGGAGACCCAGACTTCTGCTGATCTTTTATGCGAATGTTCGACATTTTTTCCTAAAAAAGTTATATGTCTCTTCAAAATCTTTTAACCTACAAAGCAAGGAAAAAAAAAACCCATTTTCTATCAAATTTCAATCTCTACCTTAGTCGAGATATGCATAAGCCGATAACGAGATCATATAGTTGGCACACGGTTGTTTCTTTTCGACAAAAATGTAACCATGATATGCGTTTCACATAAATACATCGAGTTGTTTATACCATTCTTCCAAGGAGAACTTAGTCTTGGTTTGACCTTTTTAACTTCATGTCCGATGGGAAGTCGAACGTATACATTTTCTTCCAAAATAGCAAGGGGATAATGTATCTCGATATCTATTTATGTTGTTTCAATATCTAAACATCAAACAACCGATCATATATATATTTTTTTATAACTGTGAGTGTCCATGCCAATTTACGCACGCACCTCGACTAATTTCACAGGATAGCCACCTGAACCTACAATATTTGGTTTCGAGAAACACATAGGAATTAATACTTAAATAGGTAGCCGTTAAGGGATTTGAACTCATTCCCTCTCAATTTAGCCTAGCTCTTTTATACCAATGAGCCACCCATGATGGTTACCAAACAACCGATCATATTTTGCGCTAAACTCAGTGATGTTTTCCGTTTTATATTTTCTTTCTAGTTCCTAATTTTTGGACCACCAAAACCACAGCCCTTTCTCACCACAAAGCTAAGTTGATGTTAGCGAACCATCAAAGTTTTTGATATCATTTGATGTTCATCTAAGTTTCTTCAAGAAATTGAGACGATAATTTAGTGCCTTATTATCTAAACCCTAGATCTAATACATGTAGAACAATGTGCAAATCATGGAAATGGATAAACAAGAGAGAAAGAAAATCTCACCAATATTTAGAGCGATCCAGGTATGGCGATTGTTCACTGCATTGTTCATGAAGAACACACGTCCTTCAGCTTTGGAAAGAGACGGTTGAAGGTAATTAATTATCCCTTAAGATTATTCTCAGCAATCAACAAAACTCTTTAATATTTTAGTGAAGACACCATGGAGAAGCCCAAATCCCCTAAATTTGTCTTTCTTGTTGGATGCTTTGAAGGTGAATATAACAACTAATACCTATTTCTAGCTTAAAACTCAAATGCCTACAACCTCTCCACAACCACTAACTAATTTATGGTTTAAAATGATATATAATTTACAACCAAACATTTTTGGCCAATTCATTTGTGGTTAAATTACCACAAATCCTAAACAATTTTAGCTATGAGCAACCCCTTTAATGCTTGTCTTCTTAATCTATAATGAAGTAAAACTAGAATCAAGAGCATGTTGTATAACTCGAACGGATATGTAGTCAATCTAAGCACAGTTCGATGGGTAGTAAAGCTAAGCATAGCTCGGTTAAGACACTTATTTTCAACTAAAAAAGTCGTGAGTTTGAATCTCAAAGTGGGTGTGGGAACGAAACGCTTCCAAAAGCGACCCTATCGAATTTTCGGCGGTTTCCTAGATTGAAGTAGTCTTTCATCATCCTACCAAATGAAAGAAGTCACTATCAAATAGCGTGACTTTATTAGTTTAGTTTAGTAAAGTCAGGCTCCAAAAAATGAGAGTTAAGCTGTGGTGCACTATGCTCGACAACTCATGCAATTTCTTGGCGCTTCTCATTTCAGTGATTACGAGGTTGCAAAGAGGGAAGTAGGACTCCTATTGAAATGCTTTCCCTCCCTCGAAAGGCAACCAACTTTCAATACGTTTTGTTACGTTACACTGTCATTTTTCCAATATCATTGAATAGCATGGTCTGGAGCTAAGGTAACTTAAGTGGGAGAGCCGTGTTATATGGGTGACATTATTGCACGGTACAGAGAGAGCACTTGTGTATGTGATGTCACATGTTGTACTAAAGAAAAATATCGAATCGATTGATAGTTTATTTAAATTAGAATAATTGTATCTTATTTATTTATTATCATTATTAATATTTCTTTGTATTTCATTCGAGTCGAGGATAAATGACCAAAAGGAGAATGTTTCCAACCTCAATTTAGGCAATACACATACTTTAGGGAATATGCTCTAAAAAAAATATTAACTCGCTAAAGCGAGAATAACTCAGCAGTAATTAAAATATATGAAGAGGATGTCGATCCACACCCCATTTATTGTACTAAAAAAAAAATTACTAAGTTTTACTTTAGCATATGAAAATTTGATAAATGTTTGCGTTAAATATTTAAACAAGTTATTTATTTTTATAGCTACAATAAGCATTGATATAAAATTCTCAATAAATTATGACGACAAAATAAAAACTTATTATATTAAGATAAAAATAGTTTAATTTTTTATTTTTATATGACTAAATGGAGGGTAGATGAGTAATAATTTTCTTTTAAGTGTTTAATTCGGGACTTGAATAATAAAAGTAATGTGACAACATGTATATGTATATATACCCATAGGATAATGTGTAATATATATGTCACACTTATAAAAGCTACCCTTGGAAAAGGATGGCTGCCCTTTCCTACATCGACACTAATATTTTGTAAAACTTTTGTCAAACGATCACTAATACAACAAGCAAAATTATTTTGACAAATACCACACCAAGTAAAACCGACAATCTAAATAGACATAGAACCAAGATTTTAAATGTTGATATCCATAGAAGTGTTGAGGTCTCAATTTTACTAAAATGTTGATCAGAAAAATAAAAATCATAAAAAATATTAGACTTATTAGTCTTTTCACTATTTTTAAATAAGTTAAAATTTCTTATTATTAATATTATGTCTCTAATAGTACTATTTTATTTGTTGATGTATATGCATACATATATCTTTTATTTTGTTGATTTTTTCACAATATAATGAAAATGCCGATTCATCTCTTACGTCGATGTCGAATTTATGAATATAAAAACATCATCATGTGTGTTGGAGGTAAATTTAACAATCGACACATGGACATTCCTAATTAGTTCGGGGTCACCAAAAAGGACAAACAAGACCATCCCTACACACCTGAGAAGGAAATTAAAGCTCCACCGACCTAAGTAATTCAACCTTAGGTCCGACCACCGACTTGGGGGCCCGACAACCGTAACCGTCGGTCAAAACGACTCCAATGACTTTGTATACCTCACATTTCAGATACGTTATTCTGATACGAGAACGACTTGCCATTAACTTAGGTGTCGGAGTGTTTGTTCCTTGTGCAAGTCCTACTGTCTCTAAAGTTGCACATCGACAGTTCGTTCTAGTTAGCTCTGATCGACCAATGATATTTGACGGAATACTGCATCAACGTTGGATGGAAGTTTAATAAGATGCGTAAAACAAAAATTATTAAACTTAAAAAATATGTTAGGAAAAATGTGACCAAAGTCAAGAAAGATAAAATAAATTGGGTTTGTAAGGGAAGAAGACTCCGGGGTTAGTCCCACATCGGTTGGGTGCAGAAACCAGGAGTGAGAAACGACTATAAAAGTGATGGTCGAAAGCGAACCAAATCATACCTTTCTCGGCCTTTTGGCTAAGATCAAGTGTAGTATCTGTTCTTATCAGTTTAATATCTGATACGTGGGCCATCGGCCCACATGATATTAAATTTATTTTTCTAGGGTGAGGGCCCACCACAATAGCTTGCTATTGGGGCTTTCGCGCGTCGCCTAATCGTTGCACTACTGCTTGGGCCTGGCGCACCCCTCCATTTTATAGTCCAAATCATTTTGTGGCCCATTGAATATATTTTTGCCTTTATCGATAAGAATGTTATTGTATTTTTGACTTGATAAATATTAAAAAATAAATATAACAATAAATTTTTCACCTGTTTGAATTCAAAATCTTAGGGAATATCTCTTTCAATATAAAGAAAGAACAAGTTACCAAACGCCGGTAATAATATTCGAAAATTGAATTTTCACATGAAACATTTTTACTTTTTTTTAGTCTCGTGATTTATTCCTTATCATAAAAATTTTTGTTAAATTTCTCATTCATTTAGAGCGATAAACCGTGATTTATTCCTTATCATAAAAATTTTTGTTAAATTTCTCATTCATTTAGAGCGATAAACCGAAAGACCAATTGTGTTTATAAATTAATTACAAAGATTATAAATTACAAAGACAAGATAAAAAAATTTTATAGTCTTTACTAAATTAATAGTAAAGACTAAATTAATACTTANATTACAAAGATTATAAATTACAAAGACAAGATAAAAAAATTTTATAGTCTTTACTAAATTAATAGTAAAGACTAAATTAATACTTAATTTTGATAAAAAATTTTACAGTAAATTGTTACAAATTTTAAACTGTAGGAACTAAATTATTAACAAAAATAAAGTTCAATAACTAAATTGATACTTTAACAAAAGTATAGGACTAAATATGTTTTTTTTGACTAAATATGTTTTTTAACCTAAAATATACATAGTACCAAATTCTACTGCTTTGCTTCATAATTCATGTTGATTCCAATACATCTTAAATGAATAAACGGAAGGCCTCTAATCTAAAAACTTATTAACCAAAATTTGAAAACAAAAAAAAAAGTTTGCTTTTGTATTTCGAAATTGGGTTAAGAAATCAAATATATATTTTTTAAGGTGAGAAACATACCATAGAAATTGTGAGAAAGCGAAGATGAAAAACAAAGTCGTTACTAAATCTGAAATTAAAATTAAAATTAAAATTAAAACTACAGTTAAAACAAGAAATAGAAACTAAGATATTTAATATTACTAGTGAACAGCCTCCACAACTTTATAGATGCACAAGCTTGGGATTCAGAACGAAACCATTTATTACACCAAAAGAACAGACCTTATTTTTGGGTATTAAATATGATGTACTAATTTCTCCTCCTTCCATAAGTGTATAAAATGAGAGATATTACCAAACAGCTATATGTCTTTTGAGAAGACCAATTTGGATTGGATCACAGCTTGGAATGTCGAAGTTTTGTGGCTTTGGCAGGCCTGCAAAATGTAAACTTCACTCATCATTTACCAAAACTTGGGTCCTTTCCATTGAGAAATATAATGTCATCAGAAGAGAGGCAAATCATGAAGCATTTAGTTAATATCTATAAAGCCTTGGAATAACACTTCACAAGGAACAAAATAGTCAAAGTTTCAAAGAGTTCCCTTGTGTTAGACATGAACAAAAGCTACAAAGCTAAAACTTAAAAAGAATCAATTCTACCATCAAAAACAATTTTTAGAACACAAGGATGCAGAAGTACAACCTATAGAACATAATCAACGGATCTTGTTCGAGTAAGGTTGTATTGGAAACAAATATATTTCTGTAATGTTTCCACATGCCTATATTTCTGTAATGTTATAGAACGTTTGTAAACTTGTAAGCTTATGTTGATTCATATATTAGGTATGCAATCCAATCGAAGTCAATGCTGCAAATATATAAGCAGCTTTTTCATAGAAAACATCAAGCTCTAATCCAAAGGAATACGGGATCTCAAATGTTATTGAGCTCGTCATCTTTTAATACATTTATAACCGTCAAGGGTAATAGGGTTACTCTGTAGTTTCATGAGATTAGCTCAAACGCCATACTTATGAAGAAGAAAAGGAGACCACTTCTAATAAGTCATCTACATTAGATAAACCTGCAATGCTATGAAGCTCAATGGCTATTGAAAATGACTTTCACTAGCTTTGTTTTCTATAACCAATCATAGAGAAAAAGTGTTCCATAAAACATCAGGAACTTAAGACAACTTATTAGCTACTAAAATAACAGGATAGTAGATTCTCCAAAAATGGCACATTTCCTTCTAAGTTTAAAGAGCTTACATGAGTTCAAGAACAAGAGCAGAAGCCCCTCCACCACCATTGCAGACAGCACCAATCCCATACTTGCCATTTTTGTGTCTTAGTACCTGTATCAAAATGCTCCTTATGTAAGAATAACTGTAAGATATAGCAAATAGTGAAAAAGGTAAGTATGCTCTCCTCTCCCCCTCTCCCTTTACTGAATCTTCCTGTTTCTGCCGGATTTAGATCATTCTCGGTCCCTTTTTAGCTAGCTGATATCGATTTTATTATAAGTGACTTATAAGCTTAAGATGGAAGTTAGTAGTTGTCAGATTGATGGAAACTTCTTTTGTATATGGGTTGAAAATGATTTATTTAATCTGGAAGATGTTTCGAGACAAGTTCTGGTGCCTCTCCATCCTTTCCAATTTTTGTGGTTTGAACAACATATGGATCGTTTGACCCATTCCCCTGTTCATTCTTGGTTTTCCTTCCAAAATCATGATGCTTTGGATACTTGTCGGCTGCAAAAGTTCAAATCTAATCAATCCTTGTATTTGGAATGGGTGGTTTGGCCAACGACAGGAGGAAGGAAGATTGCAATCATCCCAGCTGGTCCAGAAATGTCGGGGTGGAAAAAATTCTGGTTTATGTTGAAAAACTTCTCAGTTCGTACTGCAGAGGAGCAGATGAGGCTTCAGAAGAATTTAAAAGGAACGGTTAAGGTTGACCTAGCTCGGAAAGATATAGCAATGAGTGGCGGTAAATATTGGTCAAATGCACTCCCTCTTCTAGTAGCAGCATTCTCGGTCTCTCAAGGATTATAGTTATTTAAGCAAACATGACGAGAAATATTGAGAGATAAAAAGAGAACAAGAGATCAAGGAAATTATCTCTAACAACGTAACCAAGATTTGAGCTCCACTACAACCCAATCTGCAGGGAGAGACAGAAATTACCCCCAATAATGTGACCAAAATCCGAGCACCACTACAGCCCAATGGGTGACCCAAAGATACAGCTCCGCCATGAGCATTAACTCTGTCCTGTATTCAACAAGCACAAAATAAAGAAATAAAAAACTAATTTGATTTTCTTTCCATGTATTTATATAAAATGAGACAACAGCATCGGACACTAGTAACAAACTACAGAATGAGCCTACTACTACAGACAAAAGGCTTATGTCCAACAACCTACTTTCATTTTCAGGAACCAGGTTGTTAACCAGACAACAGTGCACAATTAGTTGAACTTTGAAGAATACCAAATGCATGATGAATTTAACAAATGACAAGAGGGCTCACAGGATTAAGACCAAGCAGCTTCTGGTTTGCAAGAGCCACAACCTGACGAGAAAAATTGTAGCAAGTTAACAACAAAATAATGCATGATGAACTATAAAATGCAGTTGTAGTGAATAAGAGCACAAGTTCTTACGGAAAAGGCTTCATTTATTTCATAATAATCAATTTGAGAGGCATGTAAACCAGCATTTGAGATAGCTTTTGGAATTGCAAGGGCTGGAGCCGTTGTAAATAATTCAGGCGCCTGGTAGTCATTTTATCTGTTAGCCACATGATCTTAATCCAAGACGAGAGACAACAACACATAGAACTTAGCTACCTGAGCTGCATCAGCATATCCTTTAATGAAAGCAATTACTTCCAAACCAAGTTCAAGTGCCTTCTTCCCGCTTACCAGCACTAAAGCAGCAGCACCATCACTGTCCAAGATCAAATCATCAAATACAATGCAGCTCATCAACGGGAATGTGGAAAGTAAATTTCTTAGCCTAGGCACTGCACAAATCAATCGCTGGAGAAAATAAACCCATTGACACTACCGTGTCTTCCCAAAACTTTCTGATTTGAGCAAGTTTTTTCTCATGTGCTTAAAAAAGAAAATAAAAATAATAACAAATAAATAAATGAATAACAATGATCCACATTATGCGTTTCTGCATTCAGTCCATCATCTCATGGGGAAAAACCAAAGAACCATAAGTGATCTCTTAAAGTACAAAAAAAAATAATTTGCAGCATATATACAAATACAATTACGGGAGAAAGAACCTTATGATAGAAGCATTTCCAGCAGTAACAGTGCCACCATCCTCTTTAAAACTTGGTCTGAGCTTCCTTAGTTTTGCAGCATCGAACTAGCAAGCCAAGAAAATTGGAAAACAATGAGAATTAGTATTTAGCCAAAAAGGTCCATAATCAGCAAAATGGAAGTTCTCAATATTTCAGAAAACTAGTGATCTTTCCAGAATAGAAAGGTTATTGACAAAAGTTAAGAAAGAACCCTCTCTCTCCCATAATCCACTCTCTTGGATTCATTCTTAGTTTTTTAGCATTAAACTAGCAAGCCACAAGAAAATTGGAAAACAATGAGTAGTATTTAGCCAAAAAGGTCCATAATCAGCAAAATGGAAGTTCTCAATATTTCAGAAAACTAGTGACCTTTCCAGAATAGAAAAGTTATTGACAAAAGTTCAGAAAGAACCCTCACTCTCCCTTAATCCACTCTCTTGGATTCCTTCTACACACAATCTGAATACCTCCTTCCATTTCTACGCTAACATTTTACTCTTCTTTCTGTTCAATCCTGCCTCTCACAACATACTCCTATAACTAAGCAACCGAGTTTTTTTTCCCTCCCTATGAAACAGAAAACTTTCATTAAGATCAAAGCCGAAGGAACCTAAAAGCCAAAGAGACAAGGAGTCCTCTCACCGTAGAGTAGGGATCAAACAAAACACCTCCAATCTAAATTAATGATAAGAGTACGGTAACCAGAAAAAGAATTGTGAAATCACTCCAATTTGAGGCTTTAACATGTACAATCTCACCAAAAATTTACAAGATTTCTATACTTGTTGAAAATCTTGTTGTTGCCCTCCTTCCAATGCAGCCGAAGAACAGCTCTTGAGGAATTTGACTAGAGACTCTAGCTTTACCCAACCACCAACCTAAGAGGATTTCTAGAAGCCAGAAACGAATTTTCCTAGGAGCACACCAAGCCAAACCAAAATTTCGACAAAGGAAATTCCATCCTTTTGAAGCAAAATAAAGTGAATAAACAAATGACTCGTTTGGGTTCTCTTTATTTGACACAAAACAGACTTGAGGCAGCAAAGTCACATGGCCTTTTTTTTCTCTTTTCTGCAATCTATCTTGTGCATCGAGTCTCTTGTAAGCAACATCTAAAGGGAAGTTTCCACCACTCACTAATAGTCCTTTTTTTTCTTTAATTAAAAACAAGCTTTCATTGAGAAAAATAAAAGAAAAATACAAGCCTCGCAAAATTTAAAAAAAGAAAAAAAAACCACCCCTCCAAAAGGAGTCCCAGAACTACCTATGCATAAATGGACTCCAATTCAAAAGAATAACGTCTAATGTAACCAAAGCCCACAAAGAAGGGCTAAACCTAACCATATCTCACATCTTTTCCCAAGATTTCTCAACCCCTCTAAAAATCTATCATTCCTCTCAAGCCAAATCCTCAACAAAATAGCGAAGAAACAAGTCTGCCAAGAGGACTATGGCCTTATCCGGAAAGACGGATTCATGATAACCTCCTCTGTTGACAACAATCTTTGCTACGCACCTCGTGGATCTAGGATCTCAAAAATTGTCACAAAGCTACTCCATAAAAGCTTGTGCGAACGAACAACTCCACAAGAGATGGTCAAGATCCTTCGTTGCCTGTTACGAAGCCTACATCACTACGAGCCCACCCAGCATCAAGGAGGAATGCCTCTAAACGCAATCCAAGGTGTTAACCCTCCCCTGCAAGACCTGTCACACGAATAATTTAAACTTCTTGGGGGATCTTTACCAAAGAGCGAAGAATGAATGGGCCTCAGTTGGGGACGAAGGGACACATAAGATCTTAAATAAAGAACTGCAAGACAAGCCCTCCAAAGGGTTAAGGGTCCAAAAGTGGATGTCCCTCCTCCCTGAAATCACCTTAACATTATCCAAAATCGAAAGAAGGGTTGTCACTTCTGTCGTCTCTCTATCCGACAAAGGACGACAAAAGCCCAAAGAAGGGAGCCTGAAGAACTGGAGGAAGGGATGTAAGAGGCTACCAAATACAACCTCTCATCAATAGACGAGGAAACATAGCACAAAGAGGCTTGTCTCCTATAAGTTATAGCATTCCATAGGATTTTAGAAAAGGCCTTAAACCCACGAATTGAATCCCACTCAAAAGGGTGTGAATGGTACTTGCTTGCAATGATCCTATGCTATAAAGCGTTCGGTCTCATAAAGAAGTCTTCTCTTTAGAAATAGAGTAAATATTAGAAAAGGCTAGTCTAGGAAGGGATCGGCGATATGTTCTCACAAAGTCTGAGATTTTAGTCATTCCCAATTTCAAGCAGACTCCTAGAAACCACTAGTTCTTGTTATTTCATTCCAGGAGCAGTACCCTTTTTTAGCCTCCAATTTGGAAAACCAACTACAATCCTCCATGGCAAATGCTTCGTTCTAATTTCAATTCTCCCTATCAACTAACAACCATCATGAGCTCAATCCCCGTAATTAATTCTCTACAATACCCTCACTACTTTCTATGTGAGAGTTTGATCATTGCTCAACTAGTTGAGATCTATATCCTCGATCAAAAGGTTCAAATCTAACTAAAAAAAAGTGAGAGTATCTATATAATACTGGGTGCTTATCAATTACTTGTATAAAATGAATATTGCAGACCTTTTTACTGTTGTTAGTTACAACTTACCTTTCCCAAGCTTTCATCCTTGTCACAAATTGTGGATGGCTTCCCTCTTCCGGAAGAAACTTTGACCTACAATATCCAAACCATTAGTAGTGTTTGCTTTATAATATAACAGACTTTAGAATGCATTCATAGATGGAATAGCAGCCGTACCGGAGCTATTTCCCATGATAATATACCACTATTTTGTGCAGCAAGTCCTCGCTCAAAGCTCTTAATAGCATATGCATCCTATTGAGGAAGAACAAGAAAACATAAAAGAGAGTTAAAAAATAATAATAATAACATTGATGACATAACTAGTATCTAAAAGAAATTTATGTGCCGACAAAATTGCCAGGTTAAATTGAACCAGTAAAACTTAAATACTAATACTGAGTGAAACTCCCCAATGGTAAACTCTACCTGCTCTTCTCTTGTAATGGAATGCTGGCTAGCACATATCTCAGCACAAACACCCATAGCGAAGTCATTGTAAACATCCCAAAGACCATCTTTAAGCATGCCATCTACGATGGTATCATTTCCAAATCGGGACCCTTTTCTGATCATAACTTTGAGTCAGAATAAAAAGTAGTTATTCCTCTTTGAAATACAAATGCAAGCAATTGCACAGCACAGTGCACTAAACAAGGTTATTGGCTCCAATGAAAGTGGAGAATCAAGTATAACCATTATCTTTAAAGGGTGAATGAAGAGTAGAGTAAATATCACAACAATAGTAAATATTAGTTAAAATAGCAATCAGCAATCCATAAACCAAAACATAACATACATGATACATGCAAAGCATTCATATTAACTCGCTGGACCAAATTGGAGCCACACATAATCAGAATCTATACTCCATGGACAAAAGGCAGAGAATTCTCATTGATTATCTAATCTGTACTCTTCCTTCCAACTATAGCATGAGATATTTACATCAGTTGAAAACAAAATATAGATAATCAGTTAACTAAGTTCCTTCTTTCTTTTTTGTTTTTTTAGTACAGTACGTGGGGTAGTACGTGGGGTAGAAGATCGAACTCACAACCAATGGTTGGAGGTATATTCCAATTACCGTTGAACTATGCTCGCTTTGGCAATTAAGTTCCTTCTTACATTGAAGTAATCATGTTTTCCTTCGTATCCTTGGATTAAACGTCATAAGGGCAGCAGCAAGAAGAAAGGAAGGTTGGCAACCATGGCAACTTCATAATGCTTTTCTAATTGAAAAGAAAAAAAAATTGAATGAAACAAAAGGAAAAAAAAAGGCCAACCTTACTTCTTGGAGATATTTTGGCGCATTAGACATACTTTCCATACCACCAGCAACAACAACATCATTGAGACCTAACTCGATTGTGTGCGCTGCAATCATTGTCGCTATGACAATAAAAAAATGGTGTCACTCATTTTGCAGGCAGTACTCTTAGAGAACAACAAACACACATTTGATGGATGAAGAAACACCTTTCATGCCCGATGCGCAAACTTTATTGATAGTGGTGCAAACAACAGAGTTCGGTATACCAGCGCCCAAGGCAGCTTGCCTAGCAGGAGCTTGCCCCAAATTTGCACTTAGAACATTTCCGAAGAACACCTCTTGCACAAGAGAGGGATCAACATTCGCCCTCTTAAGGGCACCTATACCCATCATAACACTTCAATTGATAACTCAAAACAGGGCAATACGGAGAAAACTTGGGAACTGCAAATTAAGACAGGAAAAAATTATACATTCAATAGCTATGGATCCAAGCTGGGTAGCCGAGAAAGATGAAAGTGAACCAAGGAAGCCACCCATTGGCGTACGGGCAACACCCACAATACAAACATCTGCGCCAACACAAACACCAATCAAAACATTGAGAATTAGTTGATGATTGAAATGAAGTGAACTGGGATCAATGAGAATCAAATAGACGTGAATTGAAGAACCTCGGGGGTTGATAGAATCGGATGAAAGAGGAGCCATGAAGAACCTGTAAAAAGAGAGTATAGTTTCAGTTTACTTACATAAGGAATTCAGAAATGGAGAAGAAAATGGCGGTTACCTGTGAAAACGATCTCGAGACAGAGAGAGCGATGGCAGGTGGTGAAATTTAGAGGGAGAATTGGAGCTAGATGACATGGAAGTTGGGAGAGCGTGGTTATCCAGAGAGTGGCGTGTCCATTACGTATAAATTATAATTAGGGATAAGAGGATTACGCAAATAAGGATTATTGACAAATAATGTATTTCGCTATTTTTTCTTCCTACACAAGATATACATCAATTATCGAGAAACTTGCTTCTTTTTAAGATATTAAATTTTCATCTAATTTTTCTTTAAAATTAAATTACAAAATTAATATAGTTAATTAAAAAAATAATTCCAAAGTAGGGTAGATAACTCGTGTATTACTCGTGCATTTGCTGCGATTTATGTCATAGGGGAATCACGAAAAAATCGTGTCGTGTGTAATACATACGATTTTGTGCGTTTTTGCTTTCATTTTATATTAGTAAGGGCTCAAATTATAAATCATGTTTGGGGTGGTGGTGTATTCCTTCCCATGGTCTACTTACTTGGCTTATGTTACAATTCCTTTTACTGTTTATTCTTTATATATTTACTTATAATTAAAAATATTTTAATTCATTTTTAATTGTATCTAAAAATAGTTAATCTAAATAAGAAACTAAACAAATTATAGCATCATATTATTTCACATTTCATATTTGTAGATATTAATTATTAAAAAGTAGGATTTCACTAAAAATTTGCAACATATAAAAATCTAATTATTTAAACATTTTTTTACATGATTTAAAATGATATTTTTCTTTTCTAAAAAAATATAAAGAGTAAATAAAAAATTACAACAAAGAAATAATTAAAATTAACAATTTTTTTTTTGTTAAAAAAGTATGAAAGAAATATGACTTTGACTAAAAAATTGTTAAGATATAAAACTCTAAATTATTTAGAATAATTTTTTTTACATAACTTAAAATAATATTTTTCTTTTTTAAAAGATATACAGAGTAAATAAAAAATTTACAGTAAAGAAATAGTTAAAATTAACCATTTATTTTTGGTTAAAAAATAGAAAAAAAAAGTGCAGACATGAGGTTTGAACTCGTTTGGCCCAACTTTACACCAATAATAAAACTAACTTATTAAAAATGTAAAATAGTAAAAAATTGTGTACATTGTATGTGATCCCTGCTACTTCAGATCTATGTCTCATATTCTTAAATTGTATATACTCTAATTTTATAATTTCTAATTTTTTATTATTACGTTGAAAGCTACATTATTTTTGTAATTCCTTTTTAAATTATATTATTTATAAGATTAACTTTTATATTTTTATTTCAAAAAAAACTCCTATATTTTACCATTTCTTTTCTAAAATATTTTTAAATTAAACACGCGTATAGTAGAAGTCAATTTAAAAACCATTTTACAGCTGCTTGAGAATACATATTATTTACAAATGAATCTTTATGCTTCATTTTCCCTTCTTTTCTAAAAGAATAAAAATAATTAATGTTTTAAAATAAACTTTTTTAACTTTTGAGGAAATATTCCTTTTAGAAAGAAAAGCAAAAAGTGAGAGGTAAAAAATATATTAGAGAGATAAAAGTTTGGAAAATGAAACAAAATTTGAGAGAGAAATTTCATATCAATATACCTGATTTTCTTTTTTAGATGTTTTAAATTAAGTGTGTTTTTGGGAATAATTTGACCATGGTTGGAATCACTTTTAGTCAAAATCATTACCATTTTAAAATAATTTGTTTGGCAATAATTCTCAAGTGAGTTTGGAAAAATCAAAATAACTTTAAGTGATTTCCAGTCAATTATTTGGAAGGTGATTTTCAAGTGATATTTTTATTAAAAAAATCAATAAACAATTAGTTTTTAAAATGATTATTGTTTTAAATTTTAAAATTGGATTTTTATTTCACCTTAAAATTTGAGAAATAATTTTTTTTTAATTGCTAAAATTTTTGTCACTCCCTACCTTTATCTATTCACTTTAATTTTTGTCTAAAACTTTCATAATGTATCTCTAAATTTTTAGTTTTCATGTAAGTTTATTTATATGTCTAAAATTTTTGCCTCTTGCCTTCTAAGATTTTGTTCCTCTCTCACTTTTCTTTTCTAAAACTTTTGTCAATTTCTTTTTTGAATTTCAAATATTAATTATTAAAAAATCACTTTTAAATTATACAAAAATCACTTAAAAAAGTATGTAACCAAAGATTAAATAATTATATAGTTATCTTTTTCTTTAATTTTTTTTAAATCACTCTACTTAGATTTTATTTTTTGGTTTCACCAAAAACACTAATTTACAGTAAGGAAAGATATTGGCCTTCACTTATATACTCATGAGATTCCTTACCGTCGATGTGACACTTTGATCACATTCACAACACTGCTCTTCCCATTAAGTAGTCAATCAAAACATAGTTTAGTGAATAAGTTATTATATTAGCATTCTTTGATGGTTAGTTCATCGTCTTTACAATCGTTAAACCAAAAATAATAATAAGTAAATGCATGAACTTGTACCAAAGTTTTTTTTTAACCCAATTTTTTGTTTATTAGACCAAAAAAGGATATGCCTTACAAATGGGGTTATCTACCTTTCATCTAGCTGCGATAGCCACAAATCACAAGAGATCGCTAAAATGGTTAAAGAATCAGTGAGTAAGCAATAGAATTTATTTTTTTAGGGCTTTCATCGAAGTATAAAGTTTCATCGTTTCATCACTGCAGAACCGCGTGATTGATCCATCTACGCTATTCCCTAATTGAAGTAAGTTGGAAAGCCTTCAGAGCCTCAGCCCCTACCTTTCTATTTCAAAAAATGAAAGCTGACTAGCAATCGCTCGTTTTTCTTATTAACATGGGATTGGATGTTAATAATGAAAGACAGAACATCTATTAGAAGGCAGGCAATCCCCGGGRAATTCCTATCGATTTCCGATGGATAACAATCCATCTTTCTCGCTTTCGCTCTTTTTCCCAATCAATCGCGAGGGTTCCGGGCATGAGAACGCAAGCGCCGGAATCGAACAAAACGTCTGAACGTCCGAGGACGAAAGAAAAATGCTTYGCGGGGAACTCGTTTCATGTCGGCGTATTCGTGCCGATTAGACGTCGGCCATGAAATCCATCACTATACCGAGCAGATCACGGGCATTCACATCTCGGTCAAACGRAACTATGCGCGATTCGCGAGAGAATCGCCTTCAGCAAGGTATGGCATTCAAGGTCACGATGTCTCTACCTTGATAGTGATCCTTTCAACCCAAGCTTTATTCGACATTCAGTCTCTTCTCTTCGATCTTGCATTGATTCACAACCCTTCTTAGTATCTTTTGATAGATATCCCACATGAAATCCGCAATGAGGATTCCAACCTCCTCGAGACCGTATTGATATTCTAATAAAAGATAGACTTAAAAAAAAGTTTAGGGTTTAGGCTATCCAAACTTGTTTTCTGACAAAAACTAGTTAGATTCTTTGTTCAATATTCTCTTATCTTATATTTTAAATTTCAAATTCAATCATTGTAGACACGTATTGTAATGATTTTAGTTCTTGAAGGTGGACATATCGAACCAATCCACTTGAGTCAGGATCGAATTGATTACTTTTTAACTTTTTTTTTCTCTAGTTTTGAGTCCAATGAATGCGGGGACGGAGGATTACCTTCAACTAAATTTTAAAAAATTAAAAAACAAAAGAAAAGCAAAAAAAAACAAAAAACAAAAAAGTGGTTTCTTATTACTAATACCCTCTCAAATTTCCCCTTTACAAATTTTTGCAGCCCTAACTTTTTTTTTTTCTGAATTTGATCTATTCATTCTTCAAAGTATTTCAGTCTCACTTGAATCTCTCCGGACTTCACTCCACAGAGCCGCAGCCAAACATCTTGCACCACCTCGCCGTCGATGCACCGTATCGTACACTCCTTCGCGAAGCAATCGTCGGCGCCGGGAACCACCTTCCTCAGCTCGCCGGCGGACATTTGCAGAATCTTGCTCAGCCGAGTAGCAAATTGAACATGCTGAAGGTTGATGTATGCGCGTCCCATCTTGTCGTCAGGCTTGAAGAGATCTTTGTCGAACACTTCCTGCGCAAGGATCGGCTTCGATTGTGACAAAATTGGAGGCGGATAGCGAAACAGAGAGATCGATCGACGTCGATCGAGCGAGCGAAATTGGAAAATAACTTACGAAGTTTATGAATCCAGGAGCATCGGAGCCGAGCGTGAAACTGAGTTCTTCGTTCCATACGGGATTCAGGCAACTTCTGATGACTTTTGTTTTCGCTTTCTGTATCGGAAGGAGAATCGCGAGTAAGATGATTATCATCAATGGCGAAAGCAAGTACGAAACGAAATCTGGAAGAAAAGACGACGGCGTTGCGAGATTGAGAATTAATTACCTGCTTCCCCAATTTGACGACGACGTACGGATCGCTACTCCTGAAATCTCGAATCACTAGACTCTTCCCTTGAATTATGACCACTTTCAGCCGTCCCGTAGGCTCCGCCATTGTTTCTGAACTTTGAATCGAGCTTGAAAAATGGAACCAAAGCTCGTCGTCTGGAGATGGATGAACATGAAGAGATTACAGATCTATTTAACACAAAACCAAAACCATACAGGTAAATCAGTATGAATCTAGTTTTTTTTATTTTATTGGCGAACTGAAAGGATGGAAATCCACTCGCCATAGTGATGAAATTCCGCTTATTAGTAACAAAAGAAACAAATTAGATAAACAGAAGCTATTTTTCGGTCAAAATGGAAAAATATAAGTTCAGAGAAGAACTACTGATCCTAAAATTGGTTATCAACCGACGATTCGTGTTCCCTAAACCATAGATTTTCCGTTCTTTTTTTCAAACTAATTTTGATTCACTACTTTATATCATTCCATTACTTTTTTCTTTTTAATAACATTTCATTATTTTGTAGTAGATACTTTTGGTTAAATTAGTTGATGTAATTTCAATATTTTTTTAATTTAAATATCTAGGCTTTAAATTAAGTTTATTTTTGTATTTTTTTTCATAGAACAATACGTTGAGGAGGGGATATCAATTATTTCTAAGCTATGCTCGCTTTGGCATTTGGCAATATGATATAATTATAACAAGGAGAATTTAAATGTCAACTAAAATAACAAACATAAGGAGAAGAAGATGAATTGCAAAATGGAAAAATATTTAATTAATTAACTAATAATTAAACAATATAATTAATAGAGATTCAAGTTTTGAAAATATAATCATCATTAAATTATTGCCAATATTTACGTGAAATGAACATCAGTAAAGTACAAATATAAAATAACGTAACAAATATGGAAGAAATTAAATTAAGGTAATTTGATAACAAAAAATAAAAACAAAAAATCCCCTCTTTTAAACCTAAAAATTTAAAAGTGTAAATAATCTCGATAGGAAAATACCCTCTACAAATAATTTCTGAATAAATAAAAACAGCCCAATCAAACAAACTTACAAAACAAAGTCTTCATTTTAATAGAGTATAAAATCGAAAAATAGTATTGTTAATAATAAGAAAAGAAAATAATTCTTCCTTGATTCCTCTAAATGATTGATACAAGGCTATATAAACAGCAGTCACACAAAGAAGAAACTAAAAAGAAATTCTTGCCTATTAGGATAAAGAAATACTTACCTATTAGAACAATAAAACCCTAACCTAAATAAAATAGGAAACATTTAAAATAAAATAAACTATAATTTAACACTCCCCTCAAGCTGGTGAATGAATATTTTCCATTCCCAACTTGTTAACCAAATGCTCAAAGTTGTTGTTGTTCAATCCTTTTGTAAGAATATCTGCTATTTGATTGTTTGTTGGTACAAATGGACTACATATGAGGCCGCTATCTAACTTCTCTTTTATGAAGTGTCTATCAACTTCAACATGCTTGGTTCTGTCATGTTGAACTGGATTATGTGCAATACTGATGGCAGACTTGTTATCACAATAAAGTTTCATAGGCCCTTCCCATGGAATCTTCAAATCTTCTAAAATAATTTTTATCCACAGTAATTCGCAGATGCTCAATGTCATTGCTCTAAATTCTGCTTTTGAACTTGATCTTGCAACTACATTTTGTTTTTTACTTCTCCAGCATTGATAAAATCACACCAATCTAAGATGATCTGCAAAATAAGATAGTGTAGCAAAAAGTATAACTCTGTAGCGTAACCTAAATAAAATAGGAAACCTTTAAAATAAAATAAACTATAATTTAACAAGTATCCATCTTAATACTCTATTAAAATGAACAGATTTTGTCAATTTTAGTAGATTTTGACACAAAATCAACCTTTAGCAACCTAAAATCATCCTATTGCAGAGCAGGTTTTTTGCAAACAAAAATAATAAAAGCAATAATTTTAAGAAAATATCAATAAAATATATTTTTGTAAAAATTTGAGAAATAAAAAAAATCGTAAAAAACATTTAAATTAACAAATAAACATTTTTCTATTTAAAAATAATTAATATTAATATTAAATATATATTCGTGATATTTTGTTGATATTTTTTATATTGTGTCCATTTTTTTCTTTTTTTTTTTGGTAATAGAATGAAAAATGTCGAACCTATAGATACATTGGACATGTCATATTTAATACTATGATCACTACTACATTAAAATTCAACCATGAATACATTATATATTGTAACATGTATATTGCAACTATACATGTGACACTTTTTAACATATGAATCAGAAAGGTCATATAAAGGCAGTAAAAAAAGAACAAAAGCATTATCATAGGAATATATGCAGAACACCTAATTATCTATCCCCTACTGCAAGATTTCTTAATATTTTGATCCCCTAAACGTGAGAAACTGTGACTGCTATGTTACATTCTACATGTAGCTGCTCTGGAGCAACTGGGTCAGTATAATCTATCTGTCTGTCACATTTTTTTACTGAAATTGGCATCCACTTAGCACCTATGATCTCGATGCCCCACGTCGTAGCCATTGGCCATTCGAAATTATTCGACAACTATACTAGCGACTGAGCAACTTTGTCCCTGTTCATCTCAAGCCTCGTTTTCCCGCTCGATGCTTCCATTTGCTCTGCATTAGATAACAAATTGTGATGTAAGCTTATTGAATTGCTTGAATTGCATTTGCTAACGGTAAGCCTGGTTAGTTGCAACTTACAAGAGGCTCCTCGTCAGATAGTTCCTCAGCCTTGCCTTTCTGCTCCTCTATGGGAGTACTTTGTTCGACTATGGTCCCTTGATTCTTTCCAGAATCGGAGTCGCTGTTATCGTCGTCATCAATGTTCTCTCTCGAACTAGATTCGTCAGCTTCCTTGTCTTCTTTATGAGCTTTTTCATCTCTTGCATTATCAGCATGTTTCTCAGAACTCTCAGGATCCTCATCAAGTTCATCAACAGCAACATCGGGTTTCTCTTCTTCATCATCAACATTAGGTTTATCCTCCTCATCATCAACATCAGGCTTCTCTTCTCCATCGGATTCCTCAATATGATGATCTCCTTCACCACTTCCTCTCGAACCGGACTTAATTTCCCGGTCGGAGTCCTCTCGGTCTGTGAGCTCCTTGTTGAGAGTCTGTGTGTGCTCCCCTTCAGAATCACCTGGGATGTGCACAATGAACTCTCAGAAAACCATGAAACAAATAAAATTCACATTCTTTAAAATGAAAAAACCAACTTTCATTTAGGAATAAATCAAAGAAAATAAGGAAAGCCCACGACAGAAGGAGCACGAGAACATTATGCTTATATGAATACTTGTACAAATTATTTGTTTAAAGTTGAATATGATCATTTCAACGATGAGATGCATAAACTTAACTTTCTTTCATGGTACAAGAATTATATAAAAGAATTTCAACCTTGTGGGAAAGAAAAAGCGTTTTACCTGAGTCCATTTCATCATGTACATTCGACCTTTTGGCAATTCCAGGGTTTGAAATGTCTGAACTCACTTTCTCGCCAGCATCCGAAAACTTGATTTTTGATGCACCATTTTGACCAAGCTTTAAATTTTTCTTTGGGGTCCTTTTTCCTTTCGTTCTGGAACACAGTACAATGTCATCCAAGAGCTATATAACAAAATAGAAAGCAAGCAATATCAGTATAATGGGTCACTCACATTTTAAATGGTTTCTTAATTGAATGCGAACCACCAGAATCTTTATTCTTCAAGCCAAGTTTACTGCAAAATAATATACGTAACATAGAGAAAAAGACGTTGTATGGTACGGGATAGGCAAGAAATGTCAAAACAACATTTGAAATCTGTTCTTGGAGACCAATTGACCCAATGCTTTTATGAGGAAAATTTTGCAATTTTGCAATCCCTTTTTTGTATAGTTAATTGCAGGGCTCCCCTGGTTTCGGGCTTTTCTGGACGGGTTTTATTTGTAACCCTTGTCTTGTTCTTTTGTTCATGTGTTCTCTTTTATTCCTTTCTTAACGGAAGTTTGGTTTCTCATTGGAAAAATAGTAATAATAACCGATTCGAAATCTATTCTTGGGAACCAATGAATCCTAGATCGTCTTTAACATCATCTTAGTTTGGTCTGATAAAAATTGAAAGACTTCTGAGAGGTAGAACTTACACTTCAAAGGAAGGAAGACTCCTTGACAGTTTTAGTTTCTGTAAATATCAAAAAGGAGAGATAAAAAAACCTGTGTTCTCATAAAAGATGGTCCAACAATTTGTGGTAATATGAAAGAGATGGGCTAAAATTCCAATACCTTTGAAGACTTCTGATCACTGCCAATGATCTCCCACCGCTCCTTCTCCAATCTGAGAACTTCAACATCTCCATCATCATATAGAACCTTGTATATTTTCATCATTTAGTGAAACATATTTAGAGGAAAAAAAAATAAGCTTCAAATAATTGGGTGGTCAAGCACCAAGAGAAAAGAAATCAGAGAAATGAGATGGTAAGATAGTGCAGCCTACCACGTGTTTCCTTTTTATTGGGTCATAAGACTTCACTGTGCCTTTATAGAATCTGAAAATTGTAATAATGCAATACGTCAGAAAAGTGGTGTGATAATAATGACTTTATAAAATAAATCGCCAAATAAAACATTATCAGTCATCAAAAGAATCGTCTAGGGGACTGCTGAGATTGTAATAAATCTTCACAGTAAACAATAAAAATGGAATAAAAATATCAATATTAAATGGACTTGAAAATTAATGTGTTTTCTCGTTTCTTTTTCATGCCGCCATCAAAACCAACAAGGAAAGGAAAGGGGAAAAAATCCTTAAGATAAATTCAAGAGGAACATGATGAACGAGGAACCCAGTGGTTTAATTGGAATTATTTTCTTTTTTTAATAAGATAAGAAATTGGGCTTTCATTGAGAGAAAATGAAAGAATATAAGCCTGACAAGAGGGGACCGACCTATAATAAGGGACCCCAATCTAAAAGAATAACAACTAACTCATTGGTATATATTTCTAAATTGAATGCGTTCTTAAGAAGTGCCTTAAATGCTCAAAAGGACACTTTCAATCTAGAAATGCATGAACATTGAAGTTTCATGTAAATTCAAGACTGATGTGCAACTATAAACATGGCAATGAAACGAGGGAAATTTTGTTCAAATGTTGCTTTGCCTCAATAAAAAACACAAACAAGACGAAATTATCCTTTAAGCAAGAGACAAATAAGATAGATACTCACTTTTTATCCATAGGCCACCAAACTTTAATTCTGCATCCGATTAAGTCTTCGATATCATTTTCACCATACTTGAACATGCACTACATTTAGAAACTGTCAGGTCGTGCACCATATAACCTTAGCAAGAAAATGGTAGTATCTTAAATCCCTAAATACACTGTATAGACTTGGTCAAGCTAAGCACTGCAGTTTGATACATAGAAGATTAGTTATCGACACACATGATTAAGACTCAGAAATCAAAGGGTTTTTAACAACAACCATTCCTCGAAGTCTTTTTTTTTTTTTAAGAAAGTGTCAAGTCTTAATTGGAATACTTTTTGTCTAGGTTTTCAGATGCGGTTTCATCTTAGTTGTTTACTTTGTATCTTTTCAGTTTCTATTGGTTCTTTTTCTTTTTCGCCCCCTTTGGGAGTTCATATATCAATAAAAAGTTTGTTTCTTGTTAAAAAAAAATAGACATCATAGTTCGATTAAAACGCATATCAGCAAACCTTTGCTAATCCTGCGATGCTTCTTCGTTTCCTCTTCTTGATGGCCCCACTTAAGGATTTCAAGTTATTTGTGTTGTTCTTATCAACCTTTTTCAGCACACTAGAATGCTGCAAGTTAGAAAAAATTGGGTGTAAGTTGATCCCAATACTCACGATATTTTAAAAATAATAATAAATAAAACAATGCAAAAGAAATTGTCAGACTAGGGGGAAAAAGATGAAGAAGACAACATAGTTAAGATGCCACCTTGACATCAAGGTCACTGAAATCTTCAAGGTCATTTTCCTGATCAGAATGACTCATGCCTGAGCCTTTGACTTTGGGTTTGGCAGAGAAACCCGTAGCCTTTTTCAAACTTGAGACCAATAACTCTGACTCACTGTTTCCACCAATCTTCTTCTCCTTGGATATATCATCATCAGAACCATGGTTGTTACCCATATCAATTTCACTCGAATCTAGTGGAGAAACTCCTCCTTGAAGTAAGGTGTTTCCTGCACCCGATGAACGTGCCTTTGATCTACTCTTGGGTCTAGCACGACTACGATCAGATGATGACCTTTGATGTTTAGGGACTGGAAGAGATGTTGCATCGCTAGTTTTTCTTTTTCTGCTCTTAGACATTGCATCCACATTTGTTCTCTTGCCAGGTAAGTCTTCATGACCATTGCTTGGTTCATGCTTGCTAGTAATCCCAATGCTACTCAAATTGATTTCCCTCACCATTGTCAAGATATCAACATCATTTTCAGCGGTTTTCTTTTCAACATGTTTCTTCTTGACCTTCTTGTTCCTTTTTTCCCTCCGTCCATGGGATTTTAAACCTTTTATCATTTTTCCAAGAGGCACATCATTACCATCTCTTTCACCTTTATTCTGTACCACATCTGCAGCAGCTTCTGTAGAAACCTGATGTAATGAAAGTAGTGTTAGGATTTAGGAAGCTAAAGTAACATGCAACCATACATATGAATTCATGGTGATAACATATACCGCCTCTGTTGCTTCTAACTTCAGTGACTCAAAGTGAGCCAAAACATTTTCATCAACCAACCACGTTTGTGCTTCACCTTCACTTTCACCAGCCTGGCAAGTACATTTAATCACATCAGCAGACAATTACAAAACCACAATGCATGAACCGAGTGTAAAGCCTCCACTTTTATTTGGAGCAAGAAGGTTGCACTTTTGGATCAGATTTGGATTCCTTGTGTCATTAACATCGGTCATCCAGCATTAGCCATGACTACATTTATTATGAACTAATCCCCAATTCTCAACATTGTTACCATACTTAAGGAGAATATTGTGTATATAATATGAATAAATAAATAGACACATTGCATTTAGATCCACTGTACGTTCTTTTTCTAACAATACCTCGCAATCTAGCACTAGTATTTATATTAATTTAAAAAATAATAATAAGAAACCAGCTTTCATCCAGACAAATGAAAGTATAAAAGGACGGGCCAAGAACAGCTCAAACAACAAAGCAAAATAAAACAAAAGTCAAGTACAGGAGATTGCTCCAATTGTTAAGAATTATAAAAAAAAGATAGTTTTGAAACTCCTGATGAGGTGATCCCAGTGAGAGGCATTGAAATGTGTCGCATTCCTAAACCGGCTTCTCTAAATTTCTAAGAATTCTCTTATTTCTCCCAAGCCAAGTATATACAAAATAGTGATAACCCAATCCCATAAACCCATGCCTACATACCGTGCTTCCTAAAGGTTTGTAGATAGGAAATGACCCAGCAGATTTCCTTTCTCAGCAACAACAAAATAATTTTAAAGAGAACTATAAACTAGAGTCGCCTAGTTTTGTCCATTCTAAACAAAATGGACCAAATATTTTTCTTTCAAATTGATGTAAAAGCACAATACTTTGCAAACTTGTTGAGTAAAGTATACATTAAATCAAATCAGAACAAAAATTTCAGGCAGAAGCTTTAACTTACAACAGATTCATCTCCTTCTTTCTTTTCCTTCGTTTTGTACAGCATGGCAGGCAGAGAAACTGAATCAGTCAATCCTTGAGAATCATCCTCTTTCAGGGCCAATCTCTTCATGATTGACAATCCGAGATCACAAATTGCATATGAATTCTGAGAAACCAAAGATAAGATTATCAGATGTGGTTGTTGTCAGTCCTCTTTCGTTAAAATATTGAAAAAATAAAAGAAAAGAAAAGAGAAATGGGAGAACAGAAGCCAGCAAGACATCTATGTCCCCTAACCTTTGACTTTGCTGCATCAACTATATCTTCACTATTTTTAATACTATGAAAGATGGAAAAAATGGCAGATATATTTTCCTTCTCTTTGGTGGTATTAGCCTCCGACTTGACATCATCATCTTTATGCACTAGAAGAGAAAGAATAAAGTGCAAACGCCTGAAACATACAAAATAAGTCCAAAAAAAGATGATTATTACAAATGTAACTCAATTGTAGACAGATGATTTAAGGAACTAACTTACAAGACACTTTAAATAAGTAACACAAACCCTTGATTCAGGGTTAATACACGTTTATTTAATAGAAAACAAACTTTGTATTGCAGAAAAAATGTAGGCAGAAAGGGGGGAGGGATGTAAGGTGTTGTCTGTGCTCCTAAGTAACTGGAACTTCAAAAAGCTTCTGAATGGTATTTACAGTAGCAGAAGAATGGTTACAAAATAATCCATCAAAGGAACTCAAAATTAGTGGAAAACATCAGATAAATAAGATAAATTTAAAGGAACTTCAATAAGATCAATTGTACCAGAAAATGCCCCCTCGTGTTTTGAAAAATCCTAGCAGTTCTTTTCGAGCATATGTTCCAGAGAGTGCCTAGGAGTGTTCCACCAAAGCACAGACACCTGACCCAAGGGTAGCCCACTACCCACTTCATAAAGAAAAGCCAAAACATCCTTGAGCAAGCACTACTGGAGCCCAAAGGAGGAACCAAAAGAAACCCAAATTTGCAATCAACCCGGCAATGGGTTAACAGGTGATCAATGTCCTCACCAGAAGAATGGGAGTCAACACAATTTTTGAGGGAGCACAGCGTGATGAGGGTTCCTCCTTTTGAGCTTTAATGTTAGTGTGAATAATATTGAGGATGAGAGGCCAAATGAAGGCTTTGACCCTCAGACATTCAGAACTTCCAACAATATATGCTGTTGGCATAGTTCTCTCAAAAATAAATTGCTAAAACCCGTTGGCATATATATAACACAGTACCCGTACTAAAAATAAAAAACATAAAAATAAATAAATATATATATATATATATAACAGTACCCTTGCCCCTTTAGAGAAAAAGTAAGGGCTGTCTTTGTGAAGCTTTGAACCTACATTACAGAACGTGTTGGAGGATTTTCTGGTTCGAGGTATTATTTGGCATCAACCTCCATGGTGAAAATATTCTGCATCGAGATAATTGTCGCCGTTTTATATGGGCCATTTGGATTGAAATGAATTATAGAATCTTTTAATATAGGATTCTCTTCTCAATAGTTGTTGGACCAAATTATTTTTCTGGTTTCCAGATGTTGTAACCTTTCTAAGAGTTATTTGTAACTCCTCTGGCTGCTTCAGAGGATACAATTTCCTGTCTATTTTGTAATCTATGTTTCTCATTAAGATACCGTTTTGTTTTCAACAATATATAAACACGCACACACAACCCCAGAATAAATTTAAGTGATGTTGTGAGATAAGCTTACCTGTATACTAGTTCATATTCTTTGACATCCTTGCATTCATCAACATCTGGACATGTATGATGAGCAAGAGCATGAACCAAGTATGTTATTATGTATTCAGGATAAGCTGTTGTTGAATTTGTTTCGGATTGCATTGACAATTGTCGTGCTTTAGCTTGGTGATGCATTTGAATAATATCAGCCAGATTCTGTTTCTCCTGATAATTCAAATAATACATGAAATTAACAAAAATAATTGAAATTCTTACCATAGGCAATCAGATGTGTAACTACCTCGTCGAACTCAGATGGATTTGAACCAGTTATGTTAAATAAGAATGCACATGCATATTTTGCATCCAACATTCTGTCCTTTATGTATTGATGAACTTTGCTCAAGAATGCTTTCCTAGCTTGAGGAAACGTTATCTGCAAGACACCAGAACGTGCAAAAGGACCAATTAATCTTACATTCACAAACAAACCACTTCTTCAGCATGATAACACCAAGAATAAGTTTCCATACTACCTCATATGAGATGTGACTACATCAAGAAGTTAAAAGATTAAGTATGCACAGTATGAGAGCACAAACTTTGGTGGACTTGCCTCTGATGTTTTTAAGGTTAAGTGAAAGATGTTAATTGGCATCTTGTCATCCCATTGCTTCGACAGTCGAAGAATTGCCTTTGCAGAAGCAAGCTTTAAATGGGCTTTGTCAACTGAACTGTAAAGCAAGAAATACTTTAGTAACTTTGAAGCCTCATACAACATGTGCTTGTTATACAAGGCACTGCTAGACTGTAATGTTTAAAAAAGGTAATTTGATATTGAAATTACTACCTTGATTCAATATCCTGTGATATTTCTCCATGGGCAAGTATGTTACCAAGGATCTCTAGAAGATTGTTGATTTCAAGACGGAGGTGAGCATCCTTAACAGGTAAATAGCTCTTGACCAATGTCTTAATGGCAAATATCTGTTACTTGGGAAAAAGGAATGACCCAGTGAGCAAGGTTTTAAGAGAAAAAAAAAAACAAAATATCAAAAGTTTGTGTTATCTTGTGAAATCCTTGATGGAAATTAACAGTTATCTTCAATCTCCCGAAGGTTGAAGCAATTGTGCTTGTGTGAGAGAGGGAGAAAGAACAACTCAAATTGACAAACCTTTAACAAGCAAAGTTCACTTCTATTCTCCCAAGATGTTTTTGCATTATCTCCCACTTCCTGAAATAGCAGGGTTAGAAATCACAAATCTAATTATCGTCAAGTCATACACAAGGAATAACAGACAGAACCAAGTGAGGGAAGCTTACGGAATTGCATTTGAGAATGTTGTTTCTAATAAACTCTTCAATTTCATTCTCTCTGGTTTCAAAAACAGGCATTGCTGTCTGAGCTATACATCCCAGAGACTGAAGTACAGCAGGCAAATGACTCCTTTCCTCAAGCATGTCCACAAGCCTCTACAAATTTTTTTAAGGAGTTTTAAATGATGCAAGGACATGAGAACATTTCTTTTGAAAAATGATTATAAGTTGCTTCATGAAAAGCTGAAACAAACCTTGTATAGGACAGAAAGTGATTTTAGCCCATCATCTTTTGTTATAGCTGCCAACGCATGTACAGCATACTTGGCCTGTCTTCTAGTACCTTCTAAGCACAGCCGCTCTAGAATCAGGTCTATGGAGCTGGAGATAGATAACAGGAAGATGGGTAATACAAATTCTAGTAACCAAGTTCTAACAGGGCAAGCTCTTCAGCTATACCTTGATGAGACAGCCAGTTGTTCTCGGATTGTACCACCAGCTTTTGCCAAAACATGCAGAATTCCTTCTTTAATTGTCTCATTGTCATCTTTAAGAAAATTGATTAGCTCCTCTTCGGACCCACTGAATAACACAGGACTGAAACGTGCAAGAATCTGTGAAAAATTATACGGGAGAATTTTAATCATAATCTTTTTACGAGAGAAAACAAAGAATAGATCATGGAGGTATATACAAAAGAAGAACAAGATGAAACGTTGTCTTAGAGTGAAAAAAAAGAAGAGAGAGAACAGAATATTATTAAAGGTGATCACAAAAAAAAGTGCAACAAAATCTCAAGAAAGCAAATTTATCTCAAGCCTCGTCTCAATTATCAGATTTGTCTTAAGAAGCAATGTTTTAAAAGGCTAAAGGCGGCCTCGAGGCTTTTTCTCTTGAAAAGGCGAGGCGTAAGCCTCAAGACGGTATGAGGCGTAAGCCTCAATTTTAATTAAAAGAATTAAACAAATCCTAAATTTGTGTGGCCAAGTATTACCAAACATAATAGTTATATAAAATTATCAAAATATCCACCTGTTACTTGTCACTCAAAAAAAATTCTAAAAAAACATCATAACATCACTACTATTATCACCAATAGAACTTACTTATTCTATAAATTGTTGTCTTCAATATTTTTAAAGTCTAGGTAGTAAAAGTAGTAATAGATTGAATTGTTACACTTACAACTCTTGCTTAGGATTCCACAAAAAAAACCTTGATATTTTTTAAGAATTGGAAAAATTAATAGTATTCTTGTAATCATTACACGAGGCGTATACTTTAAGCCTCAGTGCGTTTTCAAAGAGGCGTAAGCCTCTTCTATGCGAGGCGTAAGCCTCTTATAGTCCAAAGAAGGCGTAAGACTTGAGGCTAAAAGTTAGAGCCTTGCCTCGAGGCGGGCCTCGAGGCGTAAGCCTCAAAAGCCTTTTAAAACATTGTTAAGAAGTACATTAGTTCCTTTCAACCCAGAGGACCCGACAAAGCATTGCATAGCACCTTGTCAAAGACCTTCATTCAGTCAATACTCCAAAAACATATCCACAGAGCAGACAGTTAAGTATCTTTAAGCAATCCCTAACGAACATTGAACTGTGATAAGGAGGTCATACCCTTCTTTTATATATATATATAAATAAAAAACATATCTACAAAGCAGATAGTTAACTATCTTTAAACAATCCCAAACGAACATTGAACTGTGACAAGGAGGTCGTACCCATTTTTTATATTATATACAAATAAGGAGCTTGTACCATGAAATCACACTTTTTCGACAAGGAACTAAACAACGCTTTTTTAAAGAAGTTAAAAAGAAAATTTGAAGTAATATTCCTCCTCTGTCCATTTCTTTCAACACTTTTCCTTTTGGCCAAGAAACCGACCATGTAGAAGTAGAAGTATACAGCCTCTAGACCGAACACCGCTTCCCCTCCATCTTCTTGCTTATAAGATATATAGATGTGACAGTGTTCTAATATCTAAAGTTGATCTTTCGTGCCCTTCTAATATATTGTTTCAAGTGCTAGCATTCCATGAAGAGGAACTCGGGAACGGACTAAGCCTGTGTACCAGAAATTGCAACGTTCCACTAACAAAACTAATATTCCTAATAACCTTCTAAAAGTCACGATTAATAGAAATAATTTGAAAGGAATCCAGTTTAACATCAAAACTCATGACTCCCCTTATATCGTGAACCAATATAGACAGCTAAGCTAAAGCATGATCTTTGATCCGTTGAAAGAAAAAATATAGCAAATTATTTGAGCACATAATTAGCACAATTTTTAACACATTGAAATAACATTACGCTGATGCCTTAAACACAAACACAATGTGAAATTTTGTCAGAGAGGTTAACCACTAGGCTATAGTACAAGAAAGAAGGCAATGATATCACAGAGATCATGCATCAGATACAAGATGAAAGATAAAGCCATGATGGGTTTTTACCACTAACATAGTCATAGAAGATTTGAGGTCTTGCATGCTGCCAGCAGATTTTTGAATCTCCGCTTCCTGAAGGATTTCTTTTACATGTTCCTTGTTGAAAAGTAAATAGGAACACTTCACAGATAATGAGTTCAAAAAATCATACAAGCGGTGTTTCTCACCCAGTATTTTAAGCAACTCATCCTGAAAGCATAGAAGACAAAGCAAGAGTCTCATTCCAAATCTTTCATTGAAAATCTAAACCAAATGCAGATTCCTCAATATATCTAATAAAGTATATGGAAATTTCAGTTTCAAAATAAGCAACTAAACCCCCCACAAATGCAATTTTTTAGGATAAGTTTGATGAAGAGGCAACATTAACAATTAGAAGGGGTCGAAATTAGTTGGGAGAACCGTGTTTTTGTTTTTCCCACTTGGAGTGCCTTATGTAAGGGTGTCTTCTAATTATGGTCTTTTCATTTGTGCCAGTTGGAAAGGTTTTCTGCAGGCTTTTTCCACACATTTTATTCTTTCAATTAAATTTTTTTTCTTATTAAAAATAAATAAATAATTCAGCCCTTCAAAGAGGCTACAGCAACAATCGCTTTGAAATTGTTGAGGAAAAAATAGGTCATCTTGTAGTTTTCTCCTTTTTAGTACATCTTGTAGTTATCTGATGAGCTTATCTGTGGTATCTTCTCGTATGACTATTTAATTCATTGAAATATTTCTTTAGTGGTCTTTTTATTAAAGACAAATTGAATTAGGTGAAGTAGTGAAAAAATTTTGCACAATGGAATAAATAACCATCAATTAACTCAGCCCTGAGGTAGGGTGAAGAAATAATATAGTAAAACTGTCAAAATAAAAAATATAGGGCAATTGCTACACTCTTTAGCAATCGAAGCTCAAGAGGCATAAAACTCAGCTCACTCACTCCTGAACCTCTTTTAAACACTCCCTCTTATCTTCAAACATAAATCTGTTCCTAGTTTTCCACATCCCTCCAAAATTGAATGAAAGCATCACGTTAGGTTGTTTTGGCTCTAACCTTGGTAATGTGAGCAGTTGATCTTCACAAGAGTATAAGTAATAAATAAAAGGTGGAGATCCAATATACGTTTAAGACCAAATACCACCCATGCTCGGCAAGGAAAGGATGTTTAAATGCCTATATGGTACTTTGTTACTCACCCGCATGTTGCAAGCTTGATGGAAGTTGGTATTTGGATCAACAAGATTACTTAAAATCCTCCAGACATTGGCATCTTTCAATTGATCAAGAATCTGAAAATTTTCCTCAGACTTTGCAGGATCAGCAAATGACCGAGACATAATTCGAAAGCCAAACAGTATTTTCTTCTGGGTCTCAGGAACATCACCATCCTGCATCTTAGACCAATCAACATCTCAGACTCTTCCCATAATTAGAGGATAAAGTTTCATGCATGGAAGATTCACAAACCTGGTTCATCTGCCTAAGAGACAGGTACCTCTGCATCTCTTGCTGTAACCTGCAAAATTCAAGAAGACCACAATGAAAAATCTGTGTATCATCTGTCGTTTACTTAGACGTGCTTACAAACTCACTTGAGGTCTTTGGTCTCAAAATCCATACCTTTGTTTTTGCTCCAGAATCTTCTCGAGAGCCTTTAGTTCAACTTTGTCAAATGTTGAGAAGACTCTGAGCAAATGTTTAACTCTATCCTTCACTGGAAACTCAGATGGGAAAAGTGACCCACAAAGAACAGATTCAATAATATCAGATCTGCAAATCATAATCTAAAAATCAATAACCCGAGATCAAGCTCATCCATGCACTCACACAACACAAAATCAAAAAAATAACGGAGATCCAAAACAGAGGAGAATAGTTGGAAATGTAATGCTTATGGCACCAACAGCTAAAAATATAAAAACAAATTATCTAACATAAAAATAGGTAGCAGTTCCTTCAAACAACTACAAACCACACTTTACTTCAAAAGCTTGAAGCATGCAACAGAGAAAGAGAAATTGATCTCGTTAACCATCACAGTTCGACAAATATACTCTGGTATTATGAAAACAATTCAATAGTTATTATTAGCTGTCTAAAAGATCAGCTAAGGACCTAAAGCAAGACTTGATAATTTATCTGTATGGATTCTTTGGAATCTCATCAAACTAATAATTGAAACCCTTATCATTATGGCAATAGAGTGTAAAACATGTTGATTAACGAGACACAGAAGGACTACTCATAGCCTAGTTTGTTGTATATGGGAATGAACTCATTTTTTTATTTACAAGAAAACAAACAACAAAGACTTAGATTTTTTTCTTTTTTATAAGAAAAACCATGCATTAGAACAAAAGAGGAGCAACAACCTAAGGGTGGGGGCCAAGGAGGCCCTCCCCTAAAGAACTACCACATTACAACTTTCCAATCTTGAGAAATTAAGGTTATCCTACAATTACAAAAGAATCTCCTATGAGAAGGCACCAAGAAGCCGTAGTAATTTGTACATATTCACAAAGTTTTCACAATGGAATAAATAACCATCAATTAACTCAGCCCTGAGGTAGGGTGAAGGAATAATATAGTAAACTCTTTGGTTCCTTTGGTTCCTTCCTATGGTTCCTTTGGTTCCTTCCTTCCAAATACTCCAAATAAGAACTCGACCAGCACAACTCCAAATATTCCAAATAAAAACAAAGACTTAGAGTATGTATTGGTCTCTGAGTACTAGGTCATTTTCCATTTAGACACTAACCTTGAATTACGTGTAGTGTAGGTGTGCTTCAAAGGATTTGAATCATCCATAGTGATTTGCCCAAGGTCGAGTTTGCAAGCTTAGATTGAGGAAGTTGCATTATGACGGTCATTTACTTTGATAAATTGGTTTCTTTGCTGATTTGTGGAATTTATTTTTGAAATTAAATGGAGAGCTTTTTTTTTGGGTACTGATAGCAAGTGGGAGGAGGCTTGAGGTCTACTGCACTTTAAAAACTCTGTTTGGGCTTTTTTTTTTTTTTTTTTTTTAGATAAGAAACAGAGAATTTCATTATCAAAATGAGGATGTAGGAAAGAAAGGGGAAGAGCAAACCCCAACGCCAAAAGTTACAAAAAAGGTTTCCAGTTGGCATTTAGTCTCATAAAACTATAATTACAAAACAATTTATCAATGAGGCACCAAGAAGAGACAAAAGTATGAACAACTTCCCAAGATTGGGCTATAGAATTTTTTCTCCCTTTGAAGATTCTTTGATTCCTCTCATACCAAATCCTCCAGGCCGTTGCAACCACTGCATTACACCAGATAATGAAGACTCTTTTTTTATAAGAGGATCCAACTTAACAACTGAAAGAAGGCCTCTTTACAACTTTGTTTGGGCTCATTCGTTTGATATATTTTGTAATCATCCTTTTTGTTTGATTTCAAGCACAACAATTACGGTTTTTTTTTGTAATTTTTTGTACTTTCTTTATACTCTCATTCGTCTTAATGAAATTTGGTTTCTTTATTTATACTCTCATCCTGTGAATCAAGTTTTCACTATACCAATTAGGGTTGTTTATATAGATTCTGCAAACATGTTGCAACTAATAGATATTGTTATACCAAGTTTCTCAAGCGAATTTAAGATATTTTCTTATCACAGTTTGAAGCTTCTGTTTCTATAACTTCGTAAACTTTTGGTTTCCTACGCATCACAAAACTGGCTCCACTTTTTTTGGTTACTAACATATAAAACACAATGTAATCCATTCAAAGTAGCGTTCCAAAATAATGTTCATCAACACTAAACAATAGTGCTGGAATGGACTACCACATGTTCCTGGAAAATGAAAAGACTGTGTAAATTTGCATCTTGTGTTATAAGACAAATACATTTCACTGACCTGAAATCCTTGTCATAAAAGCATCTCAAAATCCTCCCAGGAATCCAAATGAAATCGTCAGGATTGGATGGTTCAGTAGATGATTTCACAGAATAGACCCTGTATATCTCAGCTAGCCTCTCCATTGTATATTTTTTAACAAGTAGCTGGGATATCCAAAGAATGGGAAGATATATTGAAATTCTTCATGAATAATCAAGATATCAACAACATAAGTTTAAACATCAATAATAACTAGAGAAGATGGCTGCGTACAGATTTATCTCGAAGACGTTCAGCAACCAGCTTTATAGTATCAAGTGGAATTGCATTCAAGGAAAGACATGCCACATCGCAAATTACAGCAACAACTTGTTTTCGGACATTTTCATCAAAGTCCAACAGCCGGTCAGAGAGGGCAGCTATAGAAGGCCAAACCAGATAGAAATCAGCCAAGGCTAACTAAGTAGAAGAATAGTAGAACTTCTATATCTTCCTTACGGCCTTCTTTTTTTTTTAAGAAAAATTAGAAATGGATGTAAATCTTTCCTCCTCGAAACTGCAAATTGTTTGACAAAGTATTAAACTTATAGGTGGAAAATTAGAGGAAGTAATCGAAGAATTGTTCTATGCCAGCAACGGAACTACAACGTAATCTTCCTTATGGTCTTCAAACACTAAATAGTTCTGTAATTATCCATCTTTTTTATTCATCACAACAAAAGAAAGCACCTCATGACCTTTGTCCTTTTTTAAGGGTAAAGAAAGAAAATGTATAAATTATGATACTCACAAATGATTTCAGATGCTTCATCTCTAAGAGGATTTGACAGTAGACAGCTCTTCACGTGCACGAGGACAGACATACGAACCTCAACAATCCTATCTGTCAGTCTTTTCAGAAACTCTGAGAAAACTGGCTGAAAAACTTCAGATATAGAAGAGCCGGGAAGAGAGAACAGATCTCCAACCAATCCCACAGCCTTTAGACGAGTATCCAGCTCATCAGTCTGCAGATATTTTTTGGTATGGATAAGAAGAAAGTAATCAGTAATATAGAATACATATTTAAGTGTGTATGTACAGAAACATATGGCATGAATAAAACCGTCCTCTTTTTTTTCTTTTTTACAAGAAACACAGACTTTTATTAACAATACCATCCTTGTTCAAGGACTAAACACAAAAGTTAATTACAAATATGATAGTCGCTTATTTCACATTTCTGGTGGGTATTTTGTTATTATTCTTGCTCCTTCAGATCTCTCTAACCTCAAAAGTGACTATAAATCATAATAGTGCAAGCATACTGACAAGTGACAAGGGATCTTCACAATCCCTTAAGCTAATGCTAACTGACGAAGGATCTTGAGAGCTAAAAGAAAATAAGAGAGAGGATGTATGCATGGCTTGGGCGAGGGTGAATATTCCACCTCTTAAGAAAGCTTTGAAGGCATGTAAATTACAATACTTTTTTTTATAAGAGTGTAAATTACAATAATTAATATACCATTCCACACATGAGATCGCGGACAGACTTGCTACAAAAGTAATGGTGATCATGTTCAAACTGCCACTAACAGAATAGCAGCTGAATCACATAACTGAAGTCACCAGTAGAGAGTAATTACAAGTAGTTACAATGAGGTACAAAGCAAGCCATTCTGTTCACTCATAATTTTTGGCTACAAAATACTGAAATAAACAGACAAGTGAACTAACAAGAGTCACCAATAGATTAATTACCAGTAACTCTCCTATGAGGTATGGAGCAATTCCTGATAGGATCTGAGGGGCACAGCGATATATGTCATAAATAACTTCATGGTAATCAATCAGATTATACGGTGGTTTGTTATCTCCTGACATTGAAGTTACAAGAAACTGTTTTACGGCAGCTTCAAGTTGTCCAGCTGAATTCTGTATGACATTCATGGCAAGCCTCCTTGCAGCCGAAGAAACATTCTGGAATTCAGATCATGAAGCATCATTTCTGTAACAGTGTAACCACATATTCAGCAAATTTCATTTCCTCGTAAGAAGGCTACTTACACTTTTATTGCGACCTAAAGTAGATAATAGGGTAAATAAGAGTTCCTCTCTGATGTCCTCACTCTCCTCTAAGAGAACAACCATTATAGTTTGCATTGATGAGAGAACACTTTCAGGATGGTCCTCCCTGCATTGGACAATTATAATTAGTTGCATAGAACATATCCTGAAAAGTTGATACATAAAATTTAGCACATACGTTACAACTCTAACAATTTCTATATGCAAATAATATTGACATTTCATTCAAGCTAATTATCTATTGGTCAAAACAGAAAAATCCAGCAACACACAGCAAATGCCGTTAAACCAACCAGACAACAGACAGAGTCAAACAGCAGGAGAATGCATTATAGTTCATTTTTTTGCAACTCTGTGAGCAGCAATATAAAATGATAGGATTCAAAGAAGAATTCTCATTAAGTTTGTTAAATCAGAGAAAGGACAAGCTAACCAAGGATGCTTTCAAAAGGCTCCCAACTGTCCTATACAATCCTCATGTTATACAATGACTATCGTTAGAGTATTTATATTAGTATATTTCATATTATTGTAACATTCTTTATTAATTTGTCCTTTATCGTCCTTTTACATTCCTACGTCAACCTTGTATATTTCTCTATATCTATTCTTTAGTAACGATAAAGGAATCATCAGATTCTCTCACACCTTAGTTTCTACAACTATCATCCTCTTCCTTAGGCTATTTATCTTCTCTCCGATTACTAACTGGTTGACTGCACTCTCTCTCTTACAATACCAACCTACAACTTAATGATCTTTTGGCATTCTTGGATCTTCCCGGTCATGTGAAGTGTGGTATGGGCCTATGGATATCCTATCCCTAAGAATACACCTTGTCCTCAAGGCAAAAGTTATGAAATTGCTCATTAATATAGTGAAAGGTTCTAAAGTTGCATCAGATGAAGGAAGAACTTCCACTGTATTAAAACGTCAACAAATATTGGCGTTATCTGTTTTGTGGACTCCCAAAAGAAACTGTGGTCCCCGTGGTATAAATAGGTCATCAATCAACTATGAGGGCAAAGCAGAAGGGTGTTGATTAGCCCCCAGGGTCTTTCTTAACTGGGAGGCATGGAACATTGGATAAATATGGGCCTCTAGAAGAAGATTTAGTTTACAGACCACCTGCCCACCGGTGCCTACCTTAAAGGGACCATTGAACTTAGGATCGAACTTTATAACGCCTTTTAGCCACAGAATCTGAATGGTTGGAGTTTGAGGTAAACCCAGTTTTCATAAAATTGTACATCATACCATGTAGAGGATGTATAATGTCACATTTCCCAATGTATAATTTCTAAGTCACATTCGTCCAATCATGTCTCCATTTTCACCATTCCAACAAATCGACTTCTCTTATACCACTTTGATAGGATTCAAAGAGAAATGCCAATTATCTGATTCCTATTGAGTATCACTGTCATCCTCACTCTTAGGCCATTTACCTTCTTTCTTCTATGACTAATTGTTGACTGCACACACTCCCTCTCTTCTAATAACAAACTACCCACTCATGCTCCTTACAACATTTTCTTGCACACCTCACGTTTGCCTAATATCCCTAGAATTCTTGGATCTTCTAGGATATGTGAAGTGCCTTGGGGGACTATCATCAGAAAACCTTAGCAATTAAAAAGATGTTTACTCATTAGGTGGATAATTATTTAGCACCAACCAAGAAATAGCAAACTTTTACATGCTATAAGATATATGTACATTTGAAGCTTAACCATGCTAGACACAAATCAACATGCTCATGGAAAAGGTAAGTACAAGAACTCAACTGTATGAATAACACATCATTAAATTAAAACAAGAAAGCCCAAAAACTATGAGATCCTATAGTTCCCATTTTTGTACATTCTTTCTATTTTTACAATTTTTCTTAATATAGCTGTGACGAACGGTGGACAACCAATATAAAAATGTGTACTCAACTACGAACAAGAACAAGGCCTACGTAAACCAAACTTCATATGTAATTTAAAAAGGTATCCAAATGATACCATTTGTGATTATCAACAAGTTTCAGGTTTCCTATAAAAAAAAATGATACCATTATTCAGAAACTGCATATGACATAATTTACATAAAAGCATATATATCAAGTAATCATCACTGGATCAATTGAACCATGTTTTCTCAATGCATACTATGAATAATATCACAATCATTACAAGATGTCCATCAAAGCCAATTTAAATTGAAACTATTAAAACTATCCAATTAAGCAAACCTGGCAACAGCAAGAAATGTGCTGAACATTTCATTGACCAGATCATCACAATCAAGGTCCAACATTACAACACACGACCTATACTTAGCAAGGGTCTCCAAGATGACAACTCTCCTACCAAATGAAGGACCATTAGTATCGTTTAATCCACTAAAAGTGCCCACTATCAGGTGAAATATGTCCTGCAAGCATAGGGACTTAAATTAGACCACAGCACAGTTGAACAAACAAATCAGATTTAAGAAGTATACAATCCCATCCCATCAGTTAGAAAATCACCTTTAATACATCATCGCTATAAGGAGCTTCTGGTGCGGTTATTCGTGTTATTTCACAGATACATGTTGCAACTAGAAGTTTGACATCTCTATCTTGATGTTGAAGCAATTCTGGCTTGATAATAGCATCGATGAAAGGTTGCATTGACTCCAAAATTGAAGGTGACGGGGACTGATCCAACTCAGAAAGATATCCTGCAGCTTGCTGCAGATTGAAAAATAGCAATTGATGGCATACATAAATCATATAGTAATTTAAAAAAAAAAAAACCAGTGTACTTAATAAGTATGATTTTCAAACTTCAGTTCGTAGCATTGCCAAATAGGGACTCTATAAACGTCTGTTCTTAGCAACTAACCGTAAAGCATAGAAGTAGAACTATATTCTTTAGCACTTCATTAGTATATGGACAAGTAGAAAATCTAGAGCAAACGGGGAACACACTCGAATCAGGCATAACTGTGAACATCGTGCATAATGTTTCCAGCAAACGAGCTAATGGTCCCATCGTCCTTACCAACAAGTTTAGTATAGATGTAAGCTCGGAAGAAACTTACATTTACGTGGCTTACTATTGCCTCCAAATACCAAGTAGTGTGTTCAATTATATAGAGAGAGAGTGAGAGAGCAGTTTAAAGAGTTGAGCAAGTTTACGTAAAGTGTACAATAATAAAACAATTCGTAAAATTTTGAAGCCAAACTACTGACTAGATCCTGCATGCATTACAATCCATTAAAAGCCGACAAATTTTCACTCAGAAAACCTAGATCCTACTTAGTCAAAATCCCCGGAGCTTAATGCCAAACTATAAGGTCGAAAGAATAACTATTTGCTAATTGTGCTCGGAGACGGCCAAGAAAAAAAGTCTTCAAGAATAATTCAGGGCATTTATCGGGCATGATCTAGCCCAACGTCCTCAATTGAAGACACAACAAAGAAGAATCTTGACTTCTCACAAATCCCCCATTATAATTCCGGAAAGTACAGAAATTGAAGCCCAGAAGTCGAAAATACCCACTCTTAACGAACGGGAAAAAAAATCAACAAACGAAACAAATGGCTCAGCAAACCATCCCAAATTACAGAAAGGAAACTCGAGCTTCGATTATTCAAGCCAAGACATCCAAATTCCGCAAAACAGAAAGAAACCCACAATTCAAAACACGAGTCTCATCTTACTCCAGTTTCCCAGCTCTCCAAACAGAGGGAAAACGAGCGTGAATTTTGCTCAAAGCTGAACAATTTTGAGAAGCAGAAGAGGAAGTAGCAGAATTAGAGCAATGGGTACCTTCAAAAGCTTAATTAGAGCATCTTTAGAGGCGGGTGGAGTCTCGAGCTTGGATCCCACCTCCCTGAGCTGCTGCTGAAGCTTGTGAGCCATGGCCGGAGTCGGAGAAACGGTAGCGTTCGCAATCTCAGCGCAGCAGAGGGTGTTTCATGGATGGTCAAAAGGGGGAATAGAGGGTTACTCGAACTCTGCAACTCTGAAGCTCTCTCTCTCCTCGCTCTTCTCTCGCTCTTCTCTCTCTCTCTCTCTCTCTCTCTCCCTCTCCCCCCCGCTCTCTTCGCGTCTGTCTCAGTGGCTATCGGGGCAAGACAGGATGCGAAATAAGCTTTCTGAATGTGAACGAAATTTTGACGAAATAGCAAATATCGTGAAGTAAAGCCCGATTAGTTTTTTGCACTTTGGTCCTTTTAGTTCCTTTAATTACTTTTTTAACCCCAAAATCCGCCCTCTCCATTATTGTAATTAAGAAAAATGGGCATTTACAAAGAACAACTATTTTTTCGATTTTTCCCACAACAAAAAAATCAGAAATAGAGAAAAATAAATGATAAATATATAAATGTTTTTTAGTTTGCCATGTAGTCAATTAAAAGTTTTAATTTATATCTGCCGTTTATTTCTTTTTCAATAAGTGGAATAGATATTCAAACTCACAATCTTTTAATGAGACATATATTTTAAGCATTTAAGTTATGATCAGGTTAGTAATTGTTATTAAACTTTCAAATTAATTGACAGTATGATGATGTACGGTTGAAATATACATAATTATTTTTATTCAAACAAAATATAATTTACCCCTCAGATTAAAAGCATCAAATTATATATAATTCTCATTCATAAAATTACAATTTTACTCATTCAAATATTATTTTTTTAGTACATACTCATTAAAACATTGTTGGTTGTTATTAAAAAAAAAGTTGACCCATTAAGATATTTGTAGTCTAATATTGTCAAATAACTCAAACAAATTACTAAATTTCAGCTATGGTAAAATCTAAATTGAAAAAATAAATTAATACGATCAAATTAAAATTATATTAAATATTTTAAAGATTGAGGACTAACTTTAAAAAAAACATTCAGGACTAAAATATATATTTAATCTAAAATAAATATATATTTTTAGATATATCATAAAGTTTTAAACTTAAAAAAATCAAAATGAAACTCGTATTCAAAATATAAAATACGAATATCACACTTTTTCTATATTTGAAAAAAAAAGAGTGAAAATTTGTGATGCTTTTTTAAATACTTATTAAATTTATGCTGTTGAATGAAATTTGTAAAAAGAATGACAGTAAAATTAAAACTTTCAAAATATTAAGGGAAAATTTGAAACTAACACATATACAGAGGGATTTTGTATAATTTATTTTGTTTTTATTTCGTCATTTATTTCAAATCTGTTTCCGACATTTTAAGATAAGGAGGTATAACAAAAATTACTAATGGATAGTTTTTTCTCTTTTCTTTTTCCGTTTTTCTTTTATGAAATAAATTAAAAGATTATAGTAAAATTTAAACTCTTAAAACATGAAACAATATTTAACTCGTCTACTTTTCTTTTTTACACAATAAATATAGATATACGGGATTGGACTTTGAAGGACCATTTATCTGTAATTTTAGATGCCCGAAATTTTAGATGTCCAATCTCTTTAGATAGTTATATTTATTTTTTAGGAAAATTAAATATTTTGATAACTACGTTTGTTCTTAGAATTTATTTTTGGAATGTTATAAATTTATGTAATGTTTCAAAAATATCATTTATAATATATTTATATAATTTATATATTAATTTAATATAATAAATTTGTTTTAATTAATTTAGTGTTTTTTTTTATATTAACTATGTATGTATTAATTTTTATTTATTGGTTAAAATCCATATTAATATAAGACTTTTTTTAGTTATTAATATTAAATATAAATTTTATTTTAACTTTAATATTTTTTCAAAAACAATTATATAATTAATGTGTTATGAGGTGACATTTATTTATCATTTCATCAAATTATATTTTTAAAAAAATAAAAATATAAAATATATGTTGGGTTTTAAGAAAATGTTGTTTTAAAATTAAGATAATAAATGTTATTGATATAATTTTTTCCAAATATTAAAAATAAATTGAGATATTGTATAATTTATTTGAAGTTTATTTTATATGTAAATGTAACAAATAAATACACTTAATTGCATAAAGATATTTATTAGTAAATGAGTACCATTGATCTATTTAAACTATCAAGTTAAAAATAAGGATATAAAAAATTTATGAAAAAAAATATATGAAGAACGAATGACAAAAATGTAAAGAGGAGATGTCCTCGACATGAGAATCTTGAAAACCCATGTTTTAAAAGAACATCTAAATCGAATCAAATGTCTTTCGTATGGGCATCTTAGGATATTCGAGCATCTCGAGATAATCGGACATCTTACATTACCACAAAACAAAGGTGGGAATTCAAATACTCATCTGACGAGAATCTTGAATTCTCACAAAAATGAGTTAGGTCAAATGTTAACTAAACATGTATATTTAAATTAGGGCATCTCGCATAATTTAACAACAAAATAAAAATAATCCAATTATATTTTTTACCCTAATATATTTTTTGTTAGTATATTTTAGCTACGCAATATTTTTTACTCTCGAATTTTCAAATTAAGAAATTATGCCTTCGAAGTACTAGTTGTTGCAAATAAATTGAATGTTATAAATGTGCAACTTGAAACATGCACAGCTTATGAACGAAAAAGGTTGTCTTAATTAATATATTTCGACTATTCAATGGAGTGGTTAAAGTTAAGCATTCGAATTTCTTATTTTAATAATTATACCACAAAATTTTTATTTTAAAAACTTGGAAACATATAGTATTTATATTCATTGCGAAGATGTTATTTTTAATTAAATAACTATAAAATTATAATTAATGGACGAATCAAGATCATGTTCAACGTTTGTTTTTTGATTAACCGACCAATAACACTAGCATGTGACGAATTGAGTGTTGTTTATAAGAGCGGTGCCAAACACTATATAAATGATGCGTAGAAATACAAAGTTAGATAGTTGTTTGTCATATGTCCATAGTTAATTAACTTTGAACCTTAGCAATTTGTTTGATGAATAATGTTAATTAATTGTGCATATAAACAAATCTCATATGTTGGTTGATAATTCTATTCATTATACAATAATGATGATGTTATATGATCAAAGGCAGAAATATTGGACCCAACTCGAACGTAATTCAACTAGGTTTTTATTTTTTATTATTTTTTTAGAAACATAGGTGAACTAGTTAAGATAAATATTATAAAAAAAAAAATCTAAAAGTATTATCTCTTTTAAAGATTTAAAAATATATTTATACCAACCAAGTCTAGTTGGAAGAAAGAAAAACAAAACAAAGAAAAGTCAACCGTGGTTTTTTCTCATCCGTTTACTTGACCTTGAAAATTACATACAAAATGGCCTTCACAATTTCCTTATTCGCATCATCTTCATCTTCTTCGAAGTCAAATCAAACCCCTTCCGATAACTATAAGTCGCCGGAAAAAAGAACACAGAGAGCCACCGACGACGGCGACGGCGACGGCGATGAGATCCTCATATGTGGCCCTCATGGTGATGGCTATGACATTCTTCAGCCTGTTTTATAATTTTAATGGTCGTTGCTATTGTTCTTGCGGCGGCGGCGGCTGCGGGTTCAGTCGAGGGTGGGAGGAGCTGGCTCTGGCTTTTGCGTCTGCAGCTAATGGAGATCACTTGAAGAAGAATCGTAAAGGTTTTTACAGCTTCACCCTAGATATATATGTTTATTTAATTTTCGATTTTTTATCAATTTACATCTCAAATTTAGATATAATCACAATTTTTTACTTTAAAAGTAGTGTTAATGAGATTTTATTCCGATAATCATTTAAAAATTTTGTTCTCTTTGGGTTGAAAAGTTTGTGAATTTGGGAAAGTAGGGTTTTATATTATTTTTTTTATTAGAATTCTTAGGCGAGTCAGTGGAAATTGAACCAGAAATAGAAATTAGGAAAAAATACATTTTTTATCCCTGAAGTTTAGGATATGCGTCAATTTGGTCTTTAAAGTTTCAAAATGAACCTTTTTAGTCTTTGAGATTTTGGTACGTGCGTTAAGTTTCAAAATGAACATTTTTTGTCCCTAAAGTTTGAAAATTTGTTCTGCCCCTGAGTATTCTTTGGCTATTAGTTGACTTAATGGAAAAATGACCTTGGCCACGCCATTTTACCGTTAAGTCAACTAACGGTCAAAAAATACCTAGGGACCATTTAGAACAAATTTTCAAACTTTAAAACCAAAAGTGTTAATTTTAAAACTTAATGATTAAATTGACACCTACCCAAATCTCAAGGACCAAAATGTTCATTTTGAAATTTCAGGGACCAAATTGACACCTACTCTAAACTTCATGGACCAAAAATGTATTTTTCCCTATAAATTATTTATCGGTTAAAACCATATTTGATCACTGTACTTTTGCATTTAGTCCATGAACTTTAATATTATAACGTTTAGTCATTGTACTTTTAAATGGATAACAATTTAGTGAACTTTAGTATGTAACAATTTAGTTCTTAGTTTAAAATTTGTAACAATTTAGTCCCTATGGTAACTTTCTTTTGGCAAAATTAAGTATTGATTTTTATCTTGTAATGATTTACCAAATATGGTTTTCTGTTTTTAAAAACAAAAAACAAAAAAAGGTTATCAAACATATATAGTTTTTATTTTATAAAAACAAAAAACTAAAAACAGGAAAAACCAAAAACAAAAAACTAAAATAGTTATCAAACACGTCCGGAATTAAATCAATTAAATCGTTACTTTTGAAAGTCAAGGATCAAATTGTTAGTTTTGGATCAAAGCATAGAGATCAAATATTTTTYTTAACGTAGATACTCTCTCGATTCATCGTTTTTGGTGTCTCAGAAGAAGGATTTTTTATTCATTAATCTACAAATGTAAAACCCATATATACAGACAGATTATCGGGCTTTTCTGTTATAATGGGCCATGTACAATTGGGCAAGCCCAATTAGTGATTACACTTCGACATAACTAACCCAGAAAAACAATCCAATTTGCTCCTTTCTTCGTGCCCTCAATCCCATTGACATCCGACAAATTTCTTTTAGGATATTGTCTTCTTCCACTTCATTCAATGACCACAACCCTGAAAAACCGACCTTTCAATCGCGATTTGTTTCCCGACCGTGTGGCTCAAATCCGCGGATTTCTTTATCTTTCTTTTCTTACGTGCATTTGTGGGATTAAAGTCATGTGCATCTCCTTGATCTCTCCCTGTAAGGACCCCTTTTACGTAATTTCTTTCCCACTGTGACCTGCAGCGACAATTCGGATGCGAATGGCGGGAATCTGGGAGGACCCCAGTTCGATTGTGTAATGCAATTATGGAATCTGTTGAAGATTAGGGTTTCCAGCTTTGAATCTTCCAGTTTTCGCCGAAGTGGTCGTTTATGCAGCCGATTGATCTCGGGTAAGTTTCTGATGCCATGTGCATGTACGAACAGATTGTTGTTTTGTAAAAGGATTTGGCATTATTGTTCCGACATGTCGTTGTCAGGTAGTGGTTTGCGGGAAATTGGTGGCTTGTTAATGGCGAGTGGTAAGGATTTAGGCAGGTGGAAGCCAGAGAGTGAATGTTGGTTCCTTGGCAATATCTCGAACATCCCTTTTCTTGACTGTTAATTTGTTCTGTTCTAAATAAAGAAAGACAGCTTTCCTGTCTAAATTTTAGCTATGTTCGTGAAGGAATTCTCATGAAAACCTAAACTTTTAAACTCATTTATTATCTGTGTTTATTGTACAGGTCAAACACTGTTTATTTATTGATTTCCCATGAACTTTTGTCAAAATGCCAGAGGAAAATCATTAAGCTAACTGGGGAATTAATGGTACTGCCTATACAAAATCGTCAGGCCTCTTAGTATTTGCTTTCCAGCATTTGATGATAAATGTAGGATTGCTGTTGCTTGCATTGTATTGGTTTAGGTTTCATGTTATGTCCAAGAACACTAATTCTTTTTTGGCGGAATTGGGAAGTGCTTGAAATTGCTTTGGAGCTAATGCTCTCAACATCTCAAATGATAAATAGGCTGTGAAAATTGACGATATTGATCTTGTATAACGTGACTAAGGAGGGTAAGTTTCACCAGTTTTTGCTTGTGGATTAGTATCATTAGATAGAAATTTTTTGTTGGAAAATTGCTGTCTAATGTTAATGACCTCGAAAGTGTGCTGAAACATAATCTCTTCCGAGTTTAAAATCAGCAGTTTTAGCCTCGTTAGGAATAGGATATCTTCATTGATTTTCTGATGGACCTTGGTGATGTTGAGCAATCCTTGCTTCCTAACCTGGCCGATTCTGGTAAGAGGAATGCTCTCCAGAGAAGAAAATCTGCCCGTCGTGGTAGTTTTTCACAATTGGTAGAAAATAACAATCAACCACAAATTTGTGATGAAGTGTCTCATCAATCTACGATTGCTCAACAAATCAGTTTTAGGCAAGTGTTTGCTCTTCCGGCCACTTATTAAAGACTAGATCCAATTCTAAAATTTCCAAGAATGAACTTGTAATTTAACTAAAAATTTTAAATTTAATTCCGTGTCTAATATTTTTCAATTATGCAAATTTTC